AAGCAATGAAGGAGAAGTATAAGTCCATGCAAGACAATAAGGTTTGGGAACTTGTCTCATTACTAGAAGGTATGAAACTCATTTCGCTTCAAGATGAATATTGTTGATAATTGTGTGTATCACAAGTTTAAAGGGAGACAAGTTTAGTCTCAATCAGTGCCCAAAGGGGAATTTGGAAATTGAGGAAATGCAAAAGATTCCCTATGCATCAGTTATAGGGAGTTTGATCTATGCCCAAGTATGTACGCATCCAGACATAACATATATAGTTGGGGTTCTAGGCAGATATTTAAGCAATTCAGGAATAGACCATTGAAAAGCAGCAAAAAGAGTCATAAGATATTGAAAGAGAACAAAAGATTATATGCTCACATATAGGAGGTCAGACCAGTTGAAGATTGTTGGGTTTTCTGACTCAGATTTTGCAGGATGTCAAGAATTTGTAGCATGCTATGAGGCATCAAATCATGGAATATGGCTGAGAAATTTTGTCACAGGGCTGCAAATTGTGAAAGGCATTGAAAGACCACTTAAGTTATATTGTGACAAAAAATCAGCTGTATTGTTAAGGAAAGAGTACAAAGTGGACAGATTTTCATAGAACACTTAAGGACAAACTCCATGATAGCATATCCTCTAACTAAAATACTTCCGCCCAAGGTCTTTCATGAGCATGTTGCTCACATGAGTGTTTTACAGTTTGAGGAATTTGTGGTTTAGTGGGAGTTAGTCACTTTCATATATTTTATGTTCTATGTTTAATTTCATATATGTATATATTGATTTTTGGACATATTTGGTTATCTATAGATATGCAGTTTTTTCGTTCATTCATTACACTTTGTACATTAAGGATATTATATTGATCTCAATAAGTTAAAGTTTGGACCAGTTGAAAATAGACGTGTATAGATCACCTTCACGTAATTTTTCATGTTACACATTTCATGATGAATCCATGTCATTTGGTTATGTCAGGATGAGTAATCATTGTTGGTTTTAGTTGCGATGATGCAATAAAAAGATGGTTTGGTTCTATATCTTGATATGATTAATGGACATGACTTTTGGAGTATGCTAAAGGAATATAATGACAATTTTGAGCTCATAAAGTCTAACACATTTGTAAGGTTGTAAGGACATATATATTTGTGACCAGTGGGAGATTGTTGACAAAATTTGGGTCATGTATATATATGATACATAATTTAAATGTGTTAGGGTTATTATTTATTAAGCTAAATAATAAAGTGATCTGACTAAATTAAAGTTTTGGCTAAAGGCATATGACATGAAAATAAAATTGTGTAGAGACCATAGAGCAATTTCTAATTTGATGAGGGGCCAAATTGGAAATACTAAAACTTAAGTAATTAACCTAATTCTGGTTATCTAAAGTGTCATGGTCCCTTTCTGGGAGCACACACACAGAACGTAAGTATCAGTCTCGTTCCTTTCTTTCTATCCCCATCAAGAGAGAAAATCAAGAGGGAAATACATGTGCTCTTCAGGTGGAAGACCATAAGATAAATATAGTGCTCTACAAAGACATCATCATTATGGCTAATTCAGGTATGCTTTCGCATTCAGTTTACAACATGTTTATCAGTATGAGATTACATTTATGTTTGATCGTTAGAATCAAAATCAGGATTATTATTATTAATTTTCCAACAGGCATGACAATGGGACGGGGCGAGGCGGGATAAGTTTTGTCTCCCCGATTCCCGTCCCCATTTTTTAACTGTCTTTGTTCGATTTTTTTTTTTAAAATCTAGCATCAAATTGAAGTAAATACATGTGGATAACATATCGTACTTATTATTTACTCGAATAGTAAATTTTTACTAGAAAGTGTTAAAAGTTAATAAAATTTTTAAAATATAACAATATTTATTAAATATAAAGATATATTATAGAATTTTATTTCATATATATATATATATATATATGAAATAAAAATATATATAATTTTTATATAAAATAAAAATATATTTATATAATTATATTATTAAAATATTTTTATAAACATAATAAATACAAATATATTTAATCTATATATATATATATAATAATATTTAAATAATTTTTTTATATTTTTATAAATATAATAAAATTTAATAAATATATATATTTATATCTTTTTAGATAATATTTTTATATAAATAAATTATATATATTATTTAAATATATTTTTAATATAAAATAGTTTTAGTAAGTAAAAATAATATTTTTTATACAAATATGATAAATAAATTTTTATTAATATAATATAAAATAATTTTAACATTAAATTATATATAAATATTTTAATATATTTTTATAAATATGATAAAAGTTTGTTATATACATTATAATTTTATTAAATATAATATATAATAAATATAAATATATACTTTTATATATAATAAAAATATATTCTATAATTATATGTTTAATATATTTATATATACTTTTATAAATATATTTATATAAGTATATATAAATAATATTTAAATATATATAAATACTATATGTTTAATATATTTTTATAAATATTATATTATCATATATAAATATTATATAAGTATATTTAAATAATATTTATAAATATATAAATATATTTATAAAAGTATATATAAATATATTAAACATATAATTATACAATATATTTTTATTATATATAAAAGTATATATTTATATTTATTATATATTATATTTAATAAAGTTATAATGTATATAACAAAATAAAAATTTGTGTTTATGATATTTATAAAAATATATAAAAATATAATGAAATATTTATATATAATTTTATATTAAAATCATTTTATATTATATTAATAAAAATGTATTTATCATATTTTTATAAAAAATATTATTTTTACTTACTACAATTATTTTATATTAAAAATATATTTAAATAATATATATAATTTATTTATATAAAAAATGTTATCTAAAAGATATAAATATATATATTTATTAAATTTTATTTTATTTATAAAAATATAAATAATTATTTAAATATTATATATATATAGATTAAATATATTTGTATTTACTATATTTATAAAAATATTTTAATAATATAATTATATAAATATATTTTTATTTTATATAAAAATTATATTTATTTTTATTTCATATATATATATATATATATATATATATATATATGAAATAAATTTCTATAATACATATTTATATTTAATAAATATTGTTATATTTTAAAATTTTTATTAATTTTTAACACTTTTCAGTAAAAGTGTAATATTAAGGTAAATAATAGGTATAATATGCTATCACGTATATTTACTTCAATTGCATGCTAGATTTGAAAAAAAAAACATCTTTATTCCTGTTCCCGATTCCTATCGATATTAGAAATTAAATTTGTATCCCCGTTAATATTGGGTTTCAGGTTTTTCTACCCCATTCCATCCTCGATTTATACTATTTTTAAAAATATAATTATATTAATAATAAATTAATTTTACTATATATCTTTTATATATAAATAAATATTTATAATTTTACAATTTATAATTATTATTAAATATATATTTTTTAATTTATTATATTTATATTAAAATATGTATGTAAAAAAATTTAATCATTTCTATTAATATAAATATATAGAATATTTATAACATTATTATTATTATTATTATTATTATTATTATTATTATTATTATTATTATATTCAAATATTTAAATATTTATAACATTATTATTATTATAATAATATTATATTTAAATATTATATTTTAAGTTGTTATTTAAAAATATGAAATATATAATTTATAAAAAAATACTTAATAATTTAATTTTTATTTAGTTAAAATGAAAATAATAAGATAAAAAAATGATATAATAAAACTTAATAAATATAAATTATAAATAAAATAATATTAGTTATTATTAAGATTTACGTAAAATATTAAAAAAAAATAAAAAAATTAATTTTATATTCATTAAATTAATTAAAAGGATTAAAAAATAAATTAATTAAAAAGATTATAAGAAAATATGAAAAACTGACACATAAAAAAATAATATAATAAATTAATTAATATAAAAAAATTAAAAAAACTAAAAAGCTAAAAAGTAGAAAAAAATAAAAATAGTAAAATATAAAAAATAATTTTATATTTAATAATAAAAAAATATTTTTAAAATATTAATATTTTAAAATTTAAATTTAAATATAAAATATATTATTTTTTTTCTTCTAATTTTTTAAAACAGGGTTTTGAAATTCGGAATGGATACCGTTTAATTGCTAGTGTCTAAAAACCATGCACAGCAACACCTACTCAACATCTTCTGATCAGAGCCAAATGTCAATGTGCATGCAATTCAGTGTCCGCTTAAACTAATAGGATAGTTAAGAAAATTTAAATCTTATATAATCATTCACTATCTATTCTTGAAATCACCAGTTTTTATGCAAGTTTTCAATTATTGTAGTTTTTTTTTATCAGTTTCATTCAATATTTGAGTTTAATTTTTTTATTAAAAATAATTTTCTATATTAATAAAATATCACCCTCGTAAATGAATGTATGTTTACATGGAAAACAGAAAGATATATTTTCTTTATCTACTAAATTGTAATTCATATAAATTTATTTAGTTCAAAAAATGTAAAACTTTAACTAAACCAAAAAATCGACCCAAAAAAAGTATAAGGGTTTGCACGCTAAATTAATTAACAATTGATTAGAAAGTCATTTAAGCAAATTTCAGTAAGATTTACATAGCCTAGAATTTAACAATAATAAGTAAAATAAACATTAAAAAAACAACAACTATGGGTAAAGTTTTATTTTCTTCTTCAAGATACAAACAAACAAGTATGCACTATAAATTCAGATGAAATTGAAATTATTTGAGAAGACTAAATAGATATAGGTCGAAATTTATAGGTTACATGTACAAGATAAAGTATACCCATTGATTCAAACACAACAAAAGATTGATCCAAACAAAACATATACAAATAGGTAACAAATTGATTACTGAGGAACACGAAGGTAGAGAGGAACATGATTGTGAGAGTTTGGAAGTGAATCCCAAACAGAGAAAGCACTTGAAGAGTTTAACCACTTATGTGTCATTTCAGGATAGTGACGATCGATCACATCTTTCAGACTCTCGGTTGTATTCACCCATTCCAGTCCCTTTTTAGTGTATGATTCTTCATTATAGTTGCTGGTGAAAAACCTATCAGCTTCTAGCCTCCTGCAAATAGACAAAAAAAAAAATTACATTGTTATTATAATTTACCTCACAAAATCACTTCACCAATATCCAAAATTTATACTTTGATCAATTAGAGCTCCTTTTTACCTGCTTGCCATGAGTAGGAATATTACAAAAGCTGTTTCACTGATTGCAAAACCCTTTATTTTCTTTTCTGCCATGAGACCTACCAGTAGATCAAGTTCTTCAACATCATCTCCATATACTTCTTCCAAAACTTGAATTGCTTCCTTGTCATCAGTTAAATCTTCCCACTTTGAGATAGGTATCAATAGTAATCCCCTCCTAAATTGGTTGTATCTAGCCACATTCCTCTCCCTATCCCTGTAAACTGCATCATGTTTTTGTAGGGTTAATTCTTGTCCCTTCATAATGATCAGATAGTGATTAAGTTAAGATTAGAACTAGATATCAAGTTGTATAACTTACTTTCAAGAGCAGCTAGGTCCACATGTTCAGACCTTTCTGTGCCATCTACGTTTTGTGGTACAAGGTCTCTGAGCCACTCTGGATAATTCCAAAGCTCTAATGCCCCACAAGCTTGGTGACCCATTGACACAAGTTGTCTTGCAACTCCTATTTCTGTTAATGTTTTCTCCCCTGGTAGTCCTATCAAGTTTTTCATAGGAATTCTACAATACCAAATGGAGAATTTTTTGGTAGTAAGTTTTAATAATTGATCCGTGCATTGATTCTTATTGTTTAAACCATCCTCAATTAGTTAACAAAGTCAAAACTAGTAAATGTTTGAAATTAATGAGATAATTTTTTTTCTTAAGATTTAGTTATCATACTCTTTGGTTACTGGTGGAGATTTGTTTGGCCCAGGAGTGGCAGATATGTCTCTGAGTTGTAGGTTATCAGGTAGGAGTGAGTGCATTCTGTAGACACTCACAAATTCTTCTGTTAAAGAGTAGGTGACACCATGATTTTCTGGTTTCTTCATACCCACAAATCCTCCCAAGATGGATCCACCAACATGTCCAAATGTGTCCTTAAACTTCTTCCCCAATAACCCATACCTGAAAAATAAACAATACATGTTAGACTTTAAGAAATAAATTACACTTCATTTTTCATCATCTTTTGTGAAGAAGTTTATATTTCAACTAACCATGAATATTAACATCATAAAGTATATTCAAAACAAAAATGTCATTGTTAAAATACTTGTACATATGTTATGTTATGACGATAAAGTCTTACCAATTGGCACGCATGCCTGCAAGGAGAGTGTCAGTTTTAAGAAGCTCCACAGTCCAATCAATGGTGTGAACCTTCGCAATCACAGCTGAAGTCACCAATCTTGCATGGCGATACAGTTCTTCATCATTCAAGTTAGGGTAATGTTTCTGAAAGAGTACAATTAATAACAAAATGGAAATGCAGGCATATAGTTAGTATTTACTTTTCAATGGAATACAAGCGTATATTAAAGACAAAACTAGGATATAATATTGTACATGTTTTTATGTTGTTTTTTAATGAAAAAATTTGAAATTTTATGTTCATAACAGATGATAATAGTTAAAGGATCTATACTGTTGCTGAGTGAGGTAAATTTTTCATTTTAATTTGGGAACAAAACCAATGACACTTATGATACAGTATTAAGTTTTGTCCATGGTTAAATTTATCATCATACCTTGAGAGAATCACAAACTGCATTGTGTTCTTGAATGAAAAGGGACTGCAAAGTTGAAACACCAGCCCAACTGTTGCGGACGTCACCTGCAACTGCTGTTCCATTTTCATTATGCAGAAGGTTTCCATCCTTTGATATCTTTATCTTCCCATCTTTGAAAGTCCTCACTTTCTGTAAAACTTCTCCATTGCTTCCATATACAGCACTTGCATCCCTATTTCAACATCCAAATCCATGCAAGTTAAAGATCTTGTTAATGAGAGACTCCAAGTTTCATATATGCTAGTTTTAACTTGAATAATAAATTACACTTACATTTGGTAGTTTTTCTAGATTACATGTAGCAATATGTTTTTATAGAGACAATGTTTTTAAAACAATTACAGAAATTAAAATAATATATAAGCTTTTTCATGCTGATGCTATTGTCATACATAAAAACTGATTCCAGATTATGATGAAGTAAAAATACAAGTTGCAAGGTTACTTAATAAATTTTTATAAAAATATTAATGGGTTTTTTTTTATTTGGTTAGGCTTATATATAATATTTGATTAGGTGAAAAGATGCAGCAGATTACATCATTAACAGTTATAATATTATTGATTAAAAAGCCCATCACGTCATTAACATTGTCTTATTATATTTATATCGACATAACTTTGTTTTCATTTGTCAAATTTTACGTCAACAAGACAAATTTAACAACAAACAAACCATTTATATAAACGCATACAACATAATTCTCGACGTTAATACTCAGGTAATGTATTGTTTGTAATTTAATTTGGCAATATACTTTATATAATGGATTAATCATTAATAATTAACAATAGTTTCTTTATTTTCTTGATTCAAGTACTCATACAAGGATATTACATTTGAATCCCTCTTAACTCTTTTCCATTTTTCATAATAACAATAATAATAATCTTTTCCCATGTGGAAATCCTTGGTTTCTGTGAGTTTTACTTTTTCTTTTTCTTAATTCTTTCAGCCGTCATTAACACTTTTCAACCCTCAATATCATATGCGTATGGTCTAAAATATATTTTTTTGTAAAAAGATATATTTTAAATCTTACAATATTAAATCTTCAGAATTGTGAAGGTGTCGTTTTTTATTTTCTTTATGGAAAGGTCCTTTTTAAGCAACTAATTGGGTTAACACTACTAAAAATTTTTATTTTTCATGGAAATATTTTTGTAAAATTTTAGTAAAAATTGCAAAAAATAAGTTTTCTATAAATTTAAATAATTTTTTGAAAAAAAATTAGAAAAAAAAACTAGTTTTCTAGTAGTGTAAGAAACTTAAAAAAAAGTACACTTAAATGACAATTTGTGGCCAAGAGAAAGCTTTTTAATGATAAGATCAATTTGACATATTTTATTATTGCATGGTGGATCCCATATAAGATTTCTTAAGACTTTAATTGATTTTTACTTTATTAGTAGGTAGATAGAGATTTTGTATAATTAATTAAATTTTAATTATAAAAATAAAAAAAATTATATTTCATAATAATAATATTGAAAATATTCTATCATTAAAATAAAAAATAAAAATTTAAATTATATTAATTTAGATTTATTTGAATTAAATATTATAAAATTAAATTTAAAAAATTTTAAAATTTTACCTCACTCCTCACGTTCCATGTTTTTCTCTTTTTTTTTTTCTGCTTTTTCTCCTCCTTCTCCGACCTCTCTCTTTCCTCATTCTCCCTCCCCCTCCCTTTTTTCTTCTTCGCCCATTTTATTTTTTTCTTTTTTCCTCTCGTTCCACCTTCATCTCCCTCCCTCTCAAAAATAATGATCAAATCGAACAAATGATGATGAGATGTTATACACAAAATCTCTGAGAGCAAGATCCAACAATAATGATGCTAAGTATAGCATATATGATACAAAACCACCCCACCAAGGATAAGGATAAGTAGTGCAAGACAAACAAATTCTAACCAATCACATTACTTTCGCCCACGCCAAAAAGATAAACCTTTTTGAAGCCTCCAAAGTGTTATTAATATTTATTTTGTTACAGATACATGCCCCTACGCATTATTTTATATGACAACAATATATATGCATGCACTCATGCACCCCAAAACCAAGTCATTATTACACAAGTTGCTTTTTTCAGTTTAAATTCTACTCTCTCTTGCTTTTCATTCAAGTTATTTTTGTTTTTTCATATATTTAGTTCACATGTACTCACAAATCATTTACATGTATAAATAAACAATACCAACTTAAGTTATTATTTATATATAGTTGAAATTAATAATGGAAGTAAAGCACACAGAAGAAGTGAAAGAAATCTTACCACCAAGGTGTTCGAATGTTTGATGTTCCGGATTTGATCTCGTAGAATCCAGTGGGAAATTCCTTGGTCTTTAAGAACTTGAAAGATTTCAGAGGGCATTGGCTTGCAACTTCTCTTGGTGCAGTGAGTTCAATCTATATATATATATATATATATATATATATATATATATATATATATAATATACATGTATCAGATTCCACCACGAATAAACTATCTTCTTGATTCCCGCAACAGCAAATAATTTCTGAAAAGCAATTTTTAAAGAACTTATAGAAAAGAATTAGAGTGATGGATTTAGGACCTGTTTGGTATCCTCAAGATGATCGATCCAATCATGAATCATAAACTGAATCCAAGAAGCTGCTATCACATTGAATTGCTTCCCTGTGTCCTTGTATGTCCTCCTTGCTAGTAGTTTACTGGCTACCACCATTGGATCAGGCTTCAATACCTGCACACACAAAACTATGCCTCAAACTGTGGATATTTTTAAGAAAGATTATTCACTTTCAGTTAGTTTAATCAACTAGTTTTAGCACCAACATTAATTTTGTCATTAGGTTAATTGTATATATAGGCTGAGATATATGAGCAATTGTGGACCTTATTTTTCTGATCCACAGGGAGAATATTTCTGCCGAAGAAAGTGCCTTGACTGCCAGCAACTTCATTGAAAGGATCGTTGTATTTTCCATCAGCTGTTCTGTATGGAAAATCAGAAGGGTTGAACCTCACCCCCACTGGTGTTGTTCCTACGTTGAAGAGGTTGTACTCTTGATGAAGGTGGCGTCTTATGGCCAGGTATAATAGCCCAAAGACCACAGGCAAACGATGCCATATCCCCAGCTTGTCAATGGAATGAACAATCTGCATAAGCCATGAAAAAATAATCATCTTATAATCATCATTTTGAACGCTGTGTGTAATAAAATTTTGCAATTTCTGTCATATACTTCAAAAAGCTACTAGGTAACGAATATTGATAATATTAATATCATAAAATAACTAGGGAAAAAATGTATACAATGAAGAGAAGAGCATCTATTATGGTCATTTTGGCCACTGCTTCATGGAAGTCTTTGTGGATGAAACGGTGAAGAACATTTGCAAAAAGGTTTCGAACCGGATCCGTTATCACAGACCACATGGTTGCTACTGATGATACAAAACAAAGGATGTAATAAGCTTGATGAAATCTAGATATGTATGTATATATTTTTCTAAGGTTGCATTGTATTTATAGACTCTTGGGTCAATTTTGCATCTTAAAACGCTAAAGTTGAATCTACATAAGTCATCGAAAATGAACTAGTCTTACTTGATTTTCCTTTTTGTGGAAAATGTTAAATATGACTATATAACAAAAAGGAGGTTTTATTTTGTATACCTTCTTTCTCACCCATTTCTTTCTTATTTCCTCTCCTTTTCTATATCTCTGTTCATCGATTATCACGTTTATTATTTATTTTTTTCCTCTCTTTTATTCTTCATACAATTTATGGGGAGTGAAATAAACATTATTATATTACAAAAAAGGTTAAATGAAAAACGTAACCCTTGCATTTAACACCATTTTTTTTTCTTAAATAAAAACTCCTTATTTTATTAATTCAACACTCACTTTTTCATCTCTTGCCTTTGCCAAAGTTACAAGATATTAGATTTGGTCATATATTTGATACCGTGTTTCTTTGTTTACTACTCATTTAATGCATGCATAATAAAATTCTAACTTTTTGGTGTTTATATTTGACAAATCACTTTCGGTTTAATCCTTATATAATAAATGAAACCCTAAACACGGTTAGCATTTTAATAAACGTAAAAATTACTTTATACAAAAATATATGTAGAAATTAATTAATGAATAAAGTGTATTTTTTTCGTATAAAAACCAAAACAAATAAAAAAGAACGTTGAATAATTTACAAAGTCTTTAAAACTCAGGACTAGTTGGCAGTATTTTCTACAGGAAAATAATAATGTTAAATTTATAAATTAATCTTAAATCCACAAGATATCTGATTAAAAAAAAACACAATATAAAGATTAGTGGGTTTGCTCATCCATTTATTACAACATTGAAAAGAATGTGTTAGATGGAAATTTTATCATTTTTTTTCCTTTGGGTTGTGGGCAATTGATTATATACAAACATTAATCCAAACACACTATTATTGACTGTTGTTTACTGTCACAAATATTTTTTAAGAAATAAAAAAATGAAAAGAAACAAGTTTTTGGTACAAACAAAGCAGGTTTCAGTCAAGAATGAAGGCGCATAGGAACACGTGCGTTATCGTAGCAGTGGTCGTCAATTTGATTAATCTGATAACACCGATGAATTCAAATAAAAAATATTCTACATTTTTTTATATTGAATTGAAATATATATATATATATATATATATATATATATATATATATAATTATTTGATTTTGATTTTGATTTGTTAATTTCTAAATTGAATCATAACCCATCTCATACATTTTTAAATATTTAAACTAAAAAGAATCTAATCCGAATTGAACTAATTAAAATATGTTCATTCAAATAAACAAATGTGAATCATAATAAAAAAATATTTGGATCATCCTTTACAGAGGGGAGCTTTTGAGATTAAAAACGAACTTGAATAAGAGTACATAAATTTTAATGTTTAATAATGCTTGTAATATAATTGTTTCCAAAATATATATTTATGATAGAAAAAACTATTATAAAAGGTTTTTTGAATTATTATTATTTTTTATTTTTAAAAAAATTTAGAGATTCATTTTAAAAATTATTTTTAAAAGTAAATTGAACAATTGCATTTAATAACTCTATTTTTAAAATTATTTAAAACTAAAGATAACGATAAAAAATTTGTTACGAAAATTAAAAATAATTTTATAATAATAAAAATAGAACATCATATATTATATAGTTTAAATCTATTTCATAATTAATTAATTTTATTTAAAAACCTTTAACAGTTGTATGATTCTTTTAATCTTAACCATACCTGCGAGAAACTTAAGGATGGAACGAATGTTTAGGGTAGTCCCAGAATTTGGACTTAAGGGTTACTTTTTTTAGTGGAAAAATCGTTGATAAAAAAAGAAAAACTTTTCCAATGGAATAAAACACAACAAGTGGGGCGGCGAAGAAATGTCTAATTTGAGCATATGTAAAAAAAAAAATCAAATTGTAACAACTTAAATACTAAGACCGTGTTGAAACTGTTTTCACGTAACCATGTCCTTTAATAATTAATGTTGTGGCTGGAATTAGAGGAAATAAGAAAAGAAAGGGAAAATACATTATTTAAAAGAAAATAATAAAGATAAAGACAAAAAAAAAAAATAGTAGGAGGAAAATTAAGTAAAATTAAGTTTTTATCGACTAAGTGATTTTAGGTAGTATTTTGTTTTACTCTATTGATAAAGATAAGGTGGGAGGGAATTATCCATTTCTAAAAAAATATTTATATATAAAATTAAAATAAAAAATTTATAATTAAAATTTATAATTTTTATATTATACTATTAAAATATATAAATATATTAGAATATTATAATTTAAATTATAAAAATTAATTAATTAAATTTAAATTATTGATTATAATTAATTATTTTTAAATATAAATATAAATTTTTTTATTTTTTAATAAAATATTAATTAATAAATAAAAACTTAAAAATTATTTATATAATTAAGATATATTTAAAATATATATAATTTTTTTATAAAACAATAAATTATTTACGGATAAACATGTTCATCCGTGAACCTGTTATTCATTTGATGGATGGTAATTCGTTTTGAATAGATAAATCAACCATTAAATATTAATAAAGAAAGAAAATGAAAAAATCATTAAAAGCTAGTTTTATGTTTCAACTTTAGTCACACATTTTTTTTCATTTTGGTTTCGTAAGAATTTCTCCAACTCTTTTCTTTCTCTTCTTATTTTACACGTGAATAATTTTGTGTCCTCTGTCTCTAAATTTTGTTCAAGATTTTCATGAACTTAATTAATGACAAGCCATTGTTACTTAAATATATGAATATGATTTTTTTTTTCATAAAAATTTCTACGAAAAATAAATTCAAAAGTAAATAAAATGAGTTTTACTGTAAGTTAATTTATAAAAACCCGCTCATATAGATTTTATAATTTTCAATTCGAATATAAATCAATTAATTTTAACTTTCATTTCATTTTCTCTTATTTTTTTCTTTCTAAAATTTGTATGGACAAATTTCTCTACACAGCTTTACATTTTGTAGATCGTTTTACCTACTTTTGTTACATTGACTTTTGACATTTTGGTGGAAAATTCTTATTACTCTAACATTGTAGTTTTATAAAAAATTTGAACCAAATTAAAATAATATTTTACAATTTAGTTTGAACTTTTTTAAATTTTTATTACAAAATTGTTAAAATATTATAATAAAATAATTATTCAATAAACAAACATAATAATAAAAATATCATACATAGTTAATTATGATATTCATAATTTATTTTATATTTATATGTTTTTACGTTTAATTTAAAAATAATAATGTATATCCAAAATTATAAGAAATTAATTGATTCAATCACAATAAGTATCATCTTATATTTTAATTTTAAAAAATATATATTATAATTTTAAATTGATTCAATTTGAGTTGTTTTTATTATCAAAATTCCCTTTGAAATTTTTGATAAAAAAATTGATATTGATCATTTTTTTTTGCGTCGATTCAGTTTTAAACATCTTTATAAAATAGATTTTATGAAATATTTTACCACTTAATTATTGTTATTTTTAATTTTTTTAATATATTTTATCATTAACATTTTCAATTTTCATATATTTTATCCATCCGTTAAATTTTTATTGAATGATGACATTTCATTAAAAAATATTAAAAAAATTGTTATAATTAATGAAAAAAAAATCAACATAATGATAGAAAAACTTAATCATATATTACAAATAAATAGTACACCAATATGTTCAATACAGGCAATAAAAAAAATCTTTATTGTAATTTCAAGCTATAAATAACAATTAATTAGTTATGAGATATATAGAAGAAAAAAAAATAGTATAAACTATTTTACTAAATCAAATGAAATATTTGACTAAATATACACTTAAAGGATCCTTTGAAATATTTCATGAAAGGAAACAAGTTGAAACTAAGATTATGTAAGATTTAAGGTGAGTTGATTGTGAAACACATGCTCATATCCTACCAAGTTCAACCATTCAAATGAATAACTTATATCATACTAAAAGGTTTCCTCACTAGGAAAACTCAATAAAAATTTAGAGTTTAGTCATTATAATTAAATTGAAGTAACTTGTTATCTTCTCTAAATTAAAATGGTGAAATACTTGTTTTGAACTTTTGACTTATTCCAACACCATCAACATCAATCTGTTGAAAATAGAATGGGGTAGAATAGTTTGGTTCATAAATAGGATTGAATGAGAGATTGACTTGTTAAAGATAAAATTATAATATTAAAAAAATAGTTTTAGACTTTTATTATAACTATCTTTTTCACCAATCCATCTAATAGATTTGTAAGTTTATTATTTCATATCTAACTCTTTTAAAATTAATAACAATAGAGTAAAATATGTCACATTCATTGATTATCTTCTAACTTTAAATATGTGATCCTAAACATAATACAATTTTCACACCAAAATAAAACAAAATTCCAATTTTTTTTTACTATTTTGTTTACTTTTCATCCCAATTTAATATAAATTGTGGATTAATTATTAAATTTTGATAGAATGTGAGTAAAATGGATTGTTTAATCCATTTTGCTACTTACACTCCTAGTGCTTCTCTTACTCCAATTCCTTTGGTGATCAAATGGAGCAAGTTAAAATGAGAAAAAAAAATAGAAAGAAGGAAGAGAGAGATAATAGCCAAGAGAATGATGAAGGAGAAGAACTAGCAAAAGTTGGTCACTGAACTGTAATGCAGTTCAGTTCTTCATAATCATTGATATTATATTATTCACTTCAATCCAACCACTTTTAAAATTCAACTCAATTCTACAATAATTTAATCAGTTAATGCATTTTGTTGAGCCCTGATACTAGTATAGCTCAAATACATAATACAAATCAGAGTTTGCAGCCTATTACTTTCTATGAAATGAAATTGATGATCTACTACTGTGGTTTTTCTATTTCTATGCAACTTCTTTATGAAGTTTACATAAGTACTAAATTTGAAATTTTGAATACCCTTTTCTGCATACACATCCATTAATTTCAGCAAAGTCTGATCTGATGACTTGAAAACATAAAACACAGTGGCATATGTATGTCTTGTAGCTGCCTCATAGGTTGTATTGATTTCATTGTTTTCATTACTTTAATATCTGGCTATTTATCACCAACCTTTGTTCTTTATGAAAGGACACAACAAAGAACTCTTACTGAATGCATTCTCATTTATTATCATAAATCCAGTGAACCACTTCTTAAAATCTTCCATGCACTACCTTGCCAAGGGGTAACAGTGCAACCAAAGTGTTGACCCTCATAACACTATGCTGTTTCGTGACAAAATGGCTCTATGATTTTCTTTAATGTGACAGCTAAAGAGGTGCAAACAGTTTATATTTGCCTTCTACACATTTCCACCTGTCTTCTATTTACAATTTACAGTTTTACAGCTTTGCAAGAGAGGAACATTCTCAGTGATTGGTGTTTCCTGGCTACCAAGATGTTCCTCCCCCTCCTCTTCCTTCTGTTCAGTTGCTTTGCCCCACATCACAGTATAAAACCCAATTGATATTATTGTGGCTCCAATTATACTGCAGAATGCAAGAAGAATGTTATGCCCTGAAATTGCTTAGTTTCTTTTCTGTCAAATATGTATTAGAAGCAGTAGAACTTCAAACTATTGTGTAACGATATGGGACTTTGAAAGGGTTTTGATGACACTGAGTATACTATTAAAATGGAATGTTAATCAGTGCAGAACTGGAAAATAACAATTAAGTGATCAAATTATGAAGAGAAGCTAGCTCCAGGTGGAGAATGAATAAGAAAAAAGGGTCACATGACTGAAAGACCTATTTAGACAAGTTTCTCTATAAACACTTCTGGAAGAGAAAAACAAGAAGAAAAAGTGAAATAAGTTTCTCCACAAACTAAAATAAACTTATGCATAAGTTAAATATCATAACATAGAGAACCTATATGTGGGAGTTTTTACAAATTAGTTTATGTATAAACTCATTTTAGCTTATAAAAAGAAATTTATTTAATTTTTTCTTCTTATTTTTCTCTCCTATAAATGTTTATATAAAATCTTGTCCAAGCAGACACTAGCTGTTTTACTAATTATATGATCTTTCTATTGATGTACCAGTTCTGGACAAGAAAGACTTAGTTTAGTTTCATTGGCAGTCACAAATTTTCAGTTAGGGAGCATTGTCTAGATATGTAAGAAACAGGGCAAGTTATAGATAGTGAATTCATTTGTTTAGGGTAGCATTATTCACTATTTTAAAGAGTAACCAATTTAACACCAACCACACTTAGCTCTAGTTTTCTCCAATCCATTTTTGTTTGGTTTAACTAAGGATAGTTATGGATACAGATACAAGATAGGGAATAGCAACTGCTTCATTTATACGCATTTGCCTAATTACTTCACCATGTTCTAAAGAAGAATCAAATGATAAAGTTGCAATACTAACCTTCCACTATATAGAGTGTCACCAAGGAACATAACACCCATGGCAACTGCAATAACAATTGAGAGAGGCTTGAACATTGCCACATATACAGGCCCCTTTAAGTGTATTCCCCAGGCATATATTGCACTACTCAGGAACTTGTTAAATATTCCCTAATTACGAAATGCATCATCATCAATAAATTATTTGAACTACATTGTATTTCAAGCTGAAAGTGCAGGAAAATTTTTCAGTGGTGTCTTACAGTGCAAACAATAGAGAGCAGGCATATATCTGGTCTTATTTGCCACGCACTTGAATTTTTCTCCGCCATTAAACCTACAATTGAAGCTACAATGGCTGCACACAAGTTGTAAAAGAACACCATAGTTAGTTCATCCGGGAACTCCTTCAAGATTTCAACCTGTAAAATTGAATATCAGAATTTAAAATTATTTGAGTACTACCATTATGACTATTTCCATACAAATAAAACCACCAATTTCGTCCTTCAACTATTATCCTCTCTTCTAGATAGTTCTTAAAGTAATAAAACTATTTAAGTAATGTCTGAACTCTGAAGTATTGAATATCCATTAGTTTACTTCCTAAGTTAATGTATTTTAGTAAAATTCAGGGACTAATTGAATGTTTCTTTAGCATTTATGAAACTACTTAGAATGATTTCTAACACTTACGAGACTATTTATGTAATTTGTCTAAGTACAAAACTTAAATACCATATTATAGTTGTTGTTCTCAAATTAGATTTGGAGTTTCATCTAGTAATAAACAATGACATTTTTTAATAAAGTGAAGTGAAACCCCAATTCAGAGTGGAAAACAACATCAAAAACACCTACAACACTGCATCTAAGTTTTGTCCTGTGTCTTACTTTTAAGAACCATTTAGGAGAGAAAGTCACACTTTAAGGATCAAATTGGTGATTTACTCATTTCCATAATATGCAACAACAAATATGCCTACCTGTAAAACGAACCATACAGTAAGTAGTATATTGCAAGCTGTCAGCAGAAGGCCACCAAAGGCCCAACTTTTATCTACTGAAGTAAGAATGGCATTTGATTGTGAAAGTTGAATTGAAGGGGAATCATCAGCGATGATGATCGATTGACCTTTGTAGAAAGTCACAATAAATGCACCTGATATTGATATAATGCTGCCCCAAATCTTAGCTTGGGTAGTTCTACTTCTTATAGCTATCTTTTCCATCCTTAAAATTGTGGTGGTAATTTGACAAGAAAAAAACAAAAGAAGAATGTGTTTGTAAGTAAAATTAAAATTGGTTGAAACCAAAATTTTCCTTTCTTGATTATAAACTTATAAAACCTGCATATTGGTAGAAAAGTGTAACCAGAATGGTGGTGAAAAAGAATTGTTTTTAAAGAGAAAATGAATTTACCTAGAAATAAATAAATTGGCTCCTCTCTCTAATGAAACAACTTAAATTATCATAGGAATTACCAAAGGGAAAAGTCAATGTTGGAAAGCTGTGGGATTCTCAGTCACAATAATAGAACAGATCTGCCAGGAGATGTACTTCTGCCATATAACATGAAGTTTTGTTTTTCATTTTTTCTTTTCAGAACTGGCAAATATTCAAAATGTATAATTTTTAAACTAATTATTTTAAAAATAAAAAATTTATCATCCACGATAATCCAATTGAATGAAAGTAGATTAAAAAAACTGTGAAATACAATTCAAGACATGAAAGTAAACCTGCAAATGACAGCAAGTATGAAGGTGAAAGCAGGAGTGAGGTTGCTGATTGCAGAGGAAAGTGTGGGAGAACTATAACTGATGCCAACATACCCCAGAATCTGAGATGAACATCTGCATCAGAATCCAAAGGTTAGAACAACAAAGTCAACTGAAAGATAGAAGAGGGTAAGTCAGAAAACTAAATCTAAAAGCCTGAACATTTGTGGTTCCCTTTGCATACCCTATGACTCCAAGAAGAGCAATTTTGGATAGGATGGAAAAACTGAGTGGAGGAACCACTCTCGATCTGCAAAGAGACATGAGAAGGAATCATTGAAGTGTGAGTTCACAGTTAGGAACTGAGAAAAATGAGCTTGTGTATAAGATTTGCACCAAACCTTCTGTAGAGAAAAGTAATAGGAAGGAGTACAAGAAAGGCCAAAGAATAGGCATAGGAGACAAAGACATAGCTACTCATCCCTTGCAGAGTGGCTGCTTTGAAGAGAGTGAACAAGGCTGTGTTGTTGCATTCATTGGCAACAAGAACCACCAGAGGTAGCAAATCCTTGTAACAGTACCTTCTATCCATCGTTCAGAACCAGACCTTTCTCTCTCTTTGCCTTCACTTTGAGACACACCCAGTCATCGGTAAGACATTTTACACTTTATACATATTATAATTTCTTCATAACTTTTTATAGTACTCAGTTAACCAATTCATGAAACTATGTGAAAAATTATTAATTTAGTTTATGATTCATACATATATATATATATATATATATATATATATATATATATATATATATATATATATATATATAAGTAGTCCTAATAATAATAAAATAGGTTTAAACAATTGAAATTAATATATCCTGCCAACTGTTTATTGAATTAAAAGAAATCATTTTAACTAGCTGTATTTTTTAAATGAATAATTAGTACGTGAGACTTGATTATTATTTAATTTTTTTAAAAGGACTGAAAGAAATATATATTAATTATGGTTTTGCATAGTTACATATGAGAAATATTTCATTCACATTAATAATTTTTTTTTTAGTTTATCTTGTTACATAGTCTTGTTATAAGTTTGAAACATGTAATTAAATTAAATATTTTAAAAAATGTTAATATAATTTTCTCTCATTTAATCTTTTTGGACATATAATTTTTATACTAATTTCTTTTAGTTATTGAAATTAGGATCTTGGACTCCTCCATAAAACCCTAAAGGTAAGACTTAAGTTTAATTTTCATTAAATACATCTTTGAAAATAGGTAAAGAACTTTACTAAATTTTCATTGAATATAAAAAAAAATATTTTCAAAATAAAAAATATAATAAATTTTTATATAAATTAAAAATACCATACTATTATAATATATAAATTTATTTTAAAAAATATTAAATAAGAGAAATATTGAAAAGATATGTATGATTGCTTCCCATTTTCGAAATGATGCCAAATATTAGGAAAGAAAAAGACTGAGGGAGGGACCTATATATCCACCAAAATTCTTTTCTTTTTTCAGTTATTTTATTTCTAATCGAGAAAAGGAGAAAGTGATAAACAAAAGATTTTTTTTTCTTGTTAAAAAAGTAATGCAATTATTAATTGTGGTTAATGCTTATCCCTCGTGTCACACTCATCCTGATAGGTTCTCTGTTTAGTATGTTTGGATTGAAATTGACGAAAATTCAAAAGCGATTTTGTTTCATATATACTAAACTTTTTCTTTTCAATTCAAAAGTCACCGAGAAGATCGTTACTTGGCTTATACAATTTAATCAGATTCTGTGAAGAAGAATGTGATAAGAACTAGTTTCTAAACGTTTGGTGTCTTGGCAACAAAAGATTAGACACAAGACAAGAAATAAAGAACATCATTTTGGACATGGTGAGAGAGTTGGCTTGTTTGCAACTTGGTAGGGACATGTTAGAATAGAAAATACTATTTGAAAAGTTACATGGATAAACTATACAATCCACCCTAAGAATATATGATATTGCCAATGATGTATCTAAAAAACATTTTACTTCTTCTGCTGATTTGTTCTGTTGCTTTTTTCATTCTTTGATTCTGCATCAACCAAACACAAACACGACATTGAGACATTTGTGCTCAAAGTATATTCATCACAACCATTGCAATCTTTTCCAAGGTGCTTGCTCCAGGATTTTTATGCATCACACAAAAAATAACTGATTCAGAAAAAGTTCCATAGTAACTCTAGTTCTCATTTTAGAGAGAGAGATGTGAAGCTCCAATAGATATAGATAGATATACAAAGAATAAAACAAACTTTTATTAATCAATGTTTATCTGTACAAACAACCTTAATTGATTGTTAAGGTGTGTAGTTATTTGTTAACCATATCATACCCCACCATGTCGATGTAATAGAGTACCTTTTAAATCGATATTAAAAACAACAAATATAGAAAGATTCTTAAGTTTTATTTTTATTTTAAAAAAGTATATTATTTTGGTTGATAAGATAAGCGATGAAATATGTTTTCCTTCTATATCAATTCATAACCAAATTAGTATATAGTTGAAAATTAATGTTAAAAATTATAATTTTTTTTACTAATGTAAAATGTTGAAAATAACTTATATTTATTTTTCTTTTTCTAGTAGTGTTTTCACTTTGCATGAACAAGTTTAAATACACGTTGATACTTGCATGCTATAAACAGAAATGTCAGTTTTTTTATAAAACAGTTAAAGAACAGTTGTTCCTCTTATGTGAAAAAGATTAATGTAAGTTACATTTTAGAACTTATGTACATCCAGAATTTATTTATTATGTGTATATTCGTATTTTATCATCTATTCCTATATTTTCTTATATATAAAATAAAAAAATAAAAAAATATTAAATATTAATAATATCTCAATCATAATTATTTAATACTTAATGTAAATAAAAAATAATATTTTTAACCCCATAAATCTCATAATTAATAATTATACTGCGAAAAAAATCTTCCATTTTCTCTCCTCTTGACGGCAACAATAAGTAGAAGCAGCACATAATCACCTTATACTGGAAAAAAAAAAAAAGCTTTCATCCTCAGTCACATATGTACTATCACAGTAAAATAGGTTCGTTGTAACTTGTTTTATGGTATTAAGAGTATGAATAATATGGTTTTCAGTTCTAAGTTGTTTAGAAATTAACTCAAGAATAATTTATATATATATATATATATATATATATATATATTTAACTTACGAAATATTTTTTAGAAATAAGAATTTAAAAAATATAAGAACTTTAAAACGGACAATAATATTTAAAACATTTAAAACGGATAATAAATATTTTAATAAACTGGCATTCACTTTCCTTAATTTATTTAAAAATCATAATTACTAAAACTTAAATAGATCATAAAAGTTAAAGTTTTAAAAAAATCATAAACAAAAATTTGAGTAGATTAATTGTTTGCAGTAACCTGTCAATTATTTATACCACACCATTTTGATTGGCCTATTTTCTTATACAAGTTTAAATACATATATATACATGCATCTTACTGGATGGAGAGATGTCAGTTTTTCCACAAAACCACTTGAAAAAAAAAAAAAAAAAACTTTTGTGGGAAGAACAGTGTTGGTTATAAGTAACAGCAGGTTATGTCTACATTGAAAATCTTCCATTCACTTTACGTTGGAGGGAAACAACAGGCACAGAATCATGTTGGGGACAATGGAACTAAAGCTTTGACCCTCAGCCGCATGTACTCTTGCTGTTCTATGACAAGAACATGGGTTTTTTTATGGTTTTTCTATGATGTTAAAAGTGGGAAGAGTTTGTATTTGTCTTGCAAACTTTATTTTCTGATGTTTCAGTTCTGTGGCTTGGTAAGAGAGGGACATTCTCAGTAGTTGGTGATTCCAGGTTACCAACATCTTCCTCTATTTCTTCTGTTGCCTTGCCCCACAATACAACATAAAGGCCAACTGATACTATTATGGCTCCAACTACACTGCAAAATACAGAGAGAATAAATGTACACAAACGAACATTTCAACAAACTTTCATTAAATTTTACTGTGTATATGACAATGGAACATCACAAATCACCAAAGAAAATTGCCAAAAAGAGGCTAGTTTTAGTTTGAGGATCCGTTTTATCTATTTATTGTTTATAGCAGTTTATATAAAGGACCTGCCCTGCATGGCAATTTTCAGATATTTGGGGAGTGATCAGATAAGTGACGAAGAGATTTGAGGGAAAATTCCTCACTAATTCCATGTCATGTGTAACCAATTTAATACCAGCTAATCTTTATGTTTCAGAATTATTCTAAAATCTCAGTTTTCTTTTACACCATCATGACTCTTCTTATTAGCTAACTCATATTTATCTTATTTCACCCTAGATTTTTCTAATCCACTTATATCCATTACCTTTTACCACCGTGTGGAATTTCATTTCTTTACATTTTCATAAAGCACATGCCCAACAGGTACAATTTTTGAGACCAGGTTTGCTTTATTCATCATAATAACTTGCATAAGTGCTTCCCCATGTTTAAAGCAAGAACCAAACACAAAATTGAAGTAGTATCATACCTTCCAATGTACAGAGTATCATCAAGGAACATAACACCCAATGCAACTGACATAATAATTTGGAATGGCTTGAAGGATGTTACAAAGACAGACCCCTTTAAATTCAGTGCCCAGGCATAAACTACATTGCTCATTAACTTTCCAAATATTCCCTAAAAACACAAAAAATAATCATCAATAAACTACACAAGCAAAGGAAGGTGTATCTTTCTGATCAAAGAGCAACAACAGTTTGCACGATATCTTACTGAGCTAACAATGGAGATCAGTGAAATATTCAGTCCTATTTTCCAAGCACTAGCATTTGGCACTTCAAATAAACCTACAGTTGTACTGAATATGGTGGCAGTCACACTGTAAAAGAAGACTAGAGTAAGTTCATCCGGGAACACTCTCAAAATATCCTCCTGCAAAGGAATTAAAATATGTTAGAACTAAGTTTCTAAAGGTTTCCATATATAGTAACAACAAGTGTAATTCCGAGATAATTTGGACCCTTTGAAGTAAGGAACATATTTTGAGAATAAAGTGCAATTAACTAAATTCTCATATATCCGTATGATCTTGAGCTTGTATTTTAAAAAACTCTACAGTCTATCATCTTATAAACCATCATAACAACTTTACCTCTCAGTTTAGAAAACCTTGAACCTACCTCTAAAATGTACCATACCGAAGTCAGAATGTAATCAGCTATCAGAAGAATGCCACCACTGGCCCAGCTTGCATCCTCTGATTTAAGAAACTTAATTGGTTGTTGAGGTAATAAGGAAAGATGTGTGTGAGCATTGATGATTGATGGTCCTTTGTAGAAAGTCAATACAAATGCACCTGCTATTGATATTATGCTTCCCACTATCTTGGCTTGACTACTTCTACATTTAGCAGCTAACTTTTCCATCCTTAATAGGACAAGAGAAACCAAAATAAGTGTACAATAGACTGAGATATTTATTCCTAGTGGTTAATTGCTACCATTGATCTGATGAAATAGGATCACCCATGATAAACTTTGGTACTAATCAATGGTGTCAAAACACCAAAGGAACGTAGTTTTAAAGCAAAAAGAGTATGCAGTTGTTCACTTTGAAAATAAAATTTTACAAAAGATTCATATATGCATGAGCTCTAAAAATGGTGATGAATAGTAATTGGAATCTTGGTTTACAGTCACTTGGAGCCCTGACTCATAGCCCATTAATCTGATAATATTGAATAAATTGGTGGGGTTCTAAATTGACCATGACACTTTTCACACATTTTAAGATATTGCATAGCGTGCAAGAAAAGAAAGCATATGACATAGCCTTTGAAATTATTTCTAGATGTCTACGTTGCATATAATATAATATACGTTGCATATAATATAATACAATATCCTCAGGTAGACTACAAAAATTTGTAAAAAAAAAAAAAATTGTTTAAATAAGAAATTTCCCAAATACAATTTAGCGAGGAAAGTGAACCTGCAAATCACGGCAAGGATGAAGGTGAAAGCAGGTACCAGATTGCTAATTGATGAAGCTAGTGTTGGAGAACTATAGCTGATTCCTGCATAACCCAGGATCTGAGATGAACTTCTGCAACACATGGCCACCCAGTTAAAAAACAAGAACAACAAAATCATCATTGATCGATGAGAATCCTTGGACCATAACTAACTAACTCCCAGCAACAGTGAGAAAACTCATACTAAAAGGCCTTGAAAAGTGTGGTTTTGAAATTCAAGTGAGGTAAATGCCTTACCCTATCACCCCAAGAAGAACTATTTTGGATATTATGGACCAACTGAGTGGAGGAACCACTCTTGATCTGCAAAGAGACATTAAAAACAAAACATGGTAACTGATAACATCATTCAAACATAAGTTCTCAGATAAATATTTGTATGCTTGATAATGATTTTGCCGTAAACAATTGCGTACCTTCTGTGGAAAAAAGTGACAGGAAGGAGAATAGTGGTTGCAACAGCATAAGCATAGGCCACAAAGACATGGTTGTTCATTCCTTGCAGTGTGGCTGCTTTGAACAGTGTGAGTAAACCCATGTCATTGCATTCAGTGCCTATAAGCACCACTATTGGCAGAAAGTTCCTGTAAAAGGACCATTCTCTTGCCATCACTCTCTTTACTTCGGTTTCACAAAACTAAAACCTTATTATAGTTTGGTTTCATCAAGTTGTTTTGAATTGTCTCTTTAGTTATAGGTATGTTCTTGGTCTAGATATGTCAACAATCAATGGCAATTTCAAATTACCCATTATTATAGGTGGAACTTCTCTTTCTACTAAGAAAAATGAATAAGATAAAGTTGATGATGCTGATATTGAATTTAATGGGTTTTGGTAAAGAATGACCTGGTAAAGGAATAAAGGAAATTAAAAAGAGGTCTTTTAAAAAAAAAAAATGTGATTGTGACATGGTTACCACTTGTAAAATTTATAATATAATGTTGAAGTTACTTTTTATGGGTGAATTGTATTATTTTTTATTATATTTCTTTTATCACGATTTCTTTTAGTTCTTTAAAAAATATATGTAAAAAATTAGATCTTTGAGAATTTTTTTTAATTCTCTAAAAAATTTCACTTTTTTAAACTAAAAAGATATTAAAAAATTAATCTTAAAAGTAGTATCAATCCCTTTTATTTATATTACATTAAACTATTTACTTATTTAATTTCATACTTATTTTCATAAATAAATGAAATTGATTTTATAAACAATGATTTTCAAATCGAACCGGAATAAAAACATGGATTTAGAATTTAAATATTTAATAGAGTCCAATCAAATTTAATAAAATAAAATAATAAAGATTTTTATTATAACCGAAATTTCAATAAAACTTATAAATTGAGAATATAAGATACATATATAATTGTTGAAATAAGATAAAAGTATTATCCAATTATTATTTGATATAATTAATATGATTTAAAAAAAAACTAAAATATATTATATTTTTTATAAAAAATTATATTAAAAAAATAATTCTTTTTACTAAAATCTGTTTAATCGAAAAATTTAGTCAATTTTTTAAATTTTATTCCAATTTTTTCTATTTTATTATAATTTAAGTTAAAACCGATTCTCAGTTAAATCGGTGAAACCCGTTAGTGGGATTTTCAAAACAACATTTATAAGCGGGGAGTGCGAAAATCTCCTCTAAGTTGATTATGTTATACGTTGGCACAAAAGTCGTATATTATATTTTAAAAAAATAGTTTAAGATTTTGAAAATATTTATGAAAATTATTGTTTTTTTTTTAATGACTGCTTTTTTACATGATTTTTTGAAAGAATAGAAAAAATAATTAGAAATAATTATTTTAGTCGGTATATTATATAATAATTCTTATGTCACAAAATATTTATATTACCAATATAAAACTAGAAAATAAGGATGAGTTGGGTCCACGGTGTTTCAATACGAAAGTGACGAAAGGTTCTTCCAATTTGATACAGTTCTTTGGAAAGTCCTCCTCACTTTCTTTCATGTGTCGTTTAATAACCAAAACAATTCAACAATTCCTTTTTTTAATCTTAATATTATAGATATAGAAAATTCATTTTCATGTTAGTATTTTTTTAATCAACCCTTTAGAAATAAATCGAAGAAATATTTATTTACAAAATTGTTTGAGAGTGGAATTGTGAAGGAAAAAGAAGAAATTAGATTGGTTTGATTTTATTTTATTTTATTTTGTAGTTTTTATAAATAATTTTTAAAAAATATTTAATAAATTAGTTACCATACAAGTTTTAAATTTTTCAATAATAAAAAACATTTTAAAAAAATAAACAAACAAGTTTTCGATTTTGAGAACAAAAAAGATTAATTTAATAATTTAAAAAATAATGAATTAACATAACTTTTTATTTTTTAATTACTTCTTATTTTTATTGGAATAAACTATCCTTTTTTCCTTTGTTTCTTTTAATAAAAAATCCCTTATTTTAAGTTTTTTTAATTATTTATACGATATTTATAGTTGTAAAAACTGTTTTTTTTTTATATACTTAAAAAAATATCTTTTAATTTCTATCATTTTTACAAACATGTTGAAAAAGCAAAAAATGTTTAGTTATCATTTGTTTTTACTTATATTCATGTTGAAAATTTTCATGTGTCCATATTTATTTAGTAAATAAAAATAGTAAAAAAAAAAAATTAAGTATGCACTAGAAAAATTAATATGTTAGTTGAAAGAAAACAAGGGAAATGAAAAAAAAAAAAAGTTATGGGATATATTAATTGTTTTCATTTTGTTGCTAAACATATTTGTATTAATCTATTTATCTTTTACTTAATTTTCTCTATTGTCATTCATCCAACATACTATAAAAAGGAAATTTCTATGACAAAATTTATGAAGATAAAAAGTTTCGCAAATTCACACAAAAATTTAGAATTTTTTTATTTTTCATCTTCCTATTTCACTTCTTAATATGTAGAAGAAAGTATCTTAAAATATGAAAAAATAGATAGTATTGCTTTTTTTTAATATGTTAAAAAGATGAACTATCTATATCATATAGAAATTAAATAATACAATTTAGGATGTTTGTAACTCAGGTTTAATTTGATTTCTTTTATTAAAAAATTATTTAAACTAAACATAAAGTTAAATATGATTTATTTAGCTCATTTTTAACATAATATAAAATTTAAACACCAAAACTTTATGATTCAGTTTAGACTATTTTTAATTTTAAAAAAAAAACACAATTTTCAACTTTTTATATTTAGTTATTTGTTTTTATTCGACTTCTTTTCTATTTGAAAGTTATTATTTCAAATGAGTAACTTAATATATGGATTTAGATAAATTGTCAATTTATTCCTGACAAAAACTGTTATTTTATTCTACGAGAATAAAAGAATTAAAAAATAATCAAGAATACAAAAATTAGTTACTTTAATTTAAAATTTCAAAATTATTTTACTAAAATATTTAAATTTTATAAATAGTGGATAAGTGTAAACACCATCATTTCATTCTCAAAATGATAATAAAATAAAATAAAAACTCTCAAAATATGATCAATCACTCATTTTAATCTTTTAAAAATTATGTAGTTTAAATGACAATGTTAAATTGACAATAAATAACTATTTTATTTTAAATTTTATTATTTTTGGGATTAATGAAAGATAATTTAGAAATTAAAATGATAAACTAAAATAATAATTTAATTTATATTAAAATTTATTTGGATATAAAATTTAAAATGGTTTTTCGAGAACATCTTACAAAATATTTTACATGCAATCAATATTATATACTAGTGCAACACATTTTTATTACGTAATAAAAACAAATAAAAAATTTATCAAAAGTAACTTCAGAAATTAATAGTTCTAACTAGGGTTTAATTAAAGGAATAAATTGAAGAAGAAAAAAATGTGTATACTAAAATTGAATGGTATTTCATTGATTTATTGTTATTGATGTTGAAAACAGGAACAAATTTTTCTGAATTCCAATTGATTAGGCATTATTAGGTCGATTACTTTGAATAATGAAGCCACCATTAGGTCACAACATTGTTCTATTTCAATTTTTTATTAAAATTAAAATTCAGATTACAATATTTTTATTTTTACTTCTAAATCAAATAGAATATTAAAAAAAAGTGCATAAGATACTCACGATGATGATGCAGTGAAAATGATATACGACATATTAATGCATAATTGTGAAAAAATATACCTTACAATAATTGTAAAATTTTCGTATAATTTCAGGGTGTTAGGGTTTTCATCATCTACATTACATGCAATCACGATCGTAACCCAAATCAAAACAATGCAGAAGATGTATTCAAATCAGAGTTCGGCCGTGGTGCCTTTCACCTCCTGCTGCATAATATCAATAACCCTAGAGTGTCTCCTCCTCTCCTCCACCACCTTCGCCACCGTGACTCTCAGCACTCCATCCTCCACCCTCGCCGTCACGTTCTCCAGGTCAGCATTCGCCGGCATTCTGAACCGTCTCCAGAACTTCCCGTTTGTCCTCTCCGCCATGTGCCACTTCTCGCCCTCCTCCTCCTCCTCCCTCCTCTCCCCGCCGATCCTCACCACGCGGTTCTCATCCACCTCCACAGTCACGTCGCGCCGCTTCACCCCCGGAATGTCCACCGAGATCACGTGCGCCGCCACTGTCTCCCTCCAGTCCGCACGTACCATGGCGGCGAACGTGTCGCCGGAAAGAGGCATCTCGAAGGGCGCGTACTCGATGAGGCGGAACATGTCGCGCGACGGGAACATGGTGTCGCGGAAGGTGCTCCATGGCATGAAGGCGTTGGTGGTGGCAAAGAACGACGAGAAGAGTGAGAGAAGAATAAGAATGTGTGTGTTAGACATTGGTTAAGGTTGTCTTGTGGTCTGAGAAAAGAGATTTAGGTTTTACTCTGTTTGTTTTTCAAGAGTTTAGGATTGATGTGTGGTGTGTTTAGGATTGTAACAAAAAATTATATATTAGCAACTAATTTCGTTTCATATTAGCAAAAAAATGATATATTTATATGAAACAAATTAGTTGTTAAACCCTATATAAAATCACTTGTTTCTAAATGTTGTTGTGTAAATAGGTTTTGTTTGAGATTTGAATGATTAAAGAAGATCCAGTGTTTAGGAACAGAAAGAAAGAAGATAGAGGAAGAGTGAACACGTGGTAATGTCATGTGCCACACAACTTCAAACCAACACTTTGATAAAAAAACATATTTGTAAGAATGAAGTACAAGAATTAATCTTGTTTAAAAAAAAAAAAGAGATTTGTATGTAAAAAAACAACACTGTAACTGAACAAAACTTTGAAGTTGTTATTATATTAATAAAAAAAATTGTCAAATAATTATTTTTTAAATTGAGTTATTATCAATTTGTTTTTTTCTTAAATAATACATTATCTTAGTATACAGTCCTATATATCTTACTGAGTAATATAATAAATTTTTTAGTGTTTTGAAATAAGTTATTATATAATTAACTTTATATATATATATATATATATATATATATATATATATATATATATATATATATAAAATCATCGATAAGTTTATTATTGTTATTATTAAATTTTTATTACCATTTTATTATAAAAAAGTTATTAAATAATTTTTCCTCATCTTTTTCCTCTTTTTTTTTCTTATCTTTCTTCTTTTTCATCTTCTTTCATGTTTTCTTTCTTTTTCTTTTTCTCTTCTTTCCTTATTTATTTGTTCATTTTCGTCTTCATCCTCTTTATGATTCTCTTTCTCATTTTCTTAATTTTATTATTCTTCTTCCTCCTCCTCAACAAACAATAATATATAAAATAAGTATAATTCTAAGTTTTTCTTCTCAATATTCTAATATTATTTTTTTAAGTTTTCAAGATTTTTTTTTCTTTTCTAAGAAGTAGATTTGCAACATCGTTACTTTCAAAATTAGTACATATATTATGTTATTATAAACAATGTATTAGAATTATTATTTTACTTTAAATAAAATAACTATGTCATATGATTTATACTAAATTTTTAAAAGTTTTTAAAAGTTTTTATAAGCGCCTGTTTTACTTGACAATTTAAAAATAATTTAGTTATTATAATTAAATACTATTTTAAGATTTAAAACCAATTTCTTTAAAATAAATTATAAGATCACAGTATATATTTTTTAAATAATAAATTATATATATATATATATATATATATATATTACACTATTAAAAAAAGTTAAGTAAATCAAATTTTATTAATTTCTTAATATTTTTTCTAAAATATTTTCGGATAAAGCAAAAAGAAATACATCGTAAAAGTAAAATATAAATTAAGTAAGAGTATAAAAAAGTTACAATTAAATAAATTATTAAAATTTAGTTATATTTAACTCGTAAAAGTAAGATTTATTTTCTGGAGGTGGTATATTTTTAATTGGATCGTATAATTTAACCATGAATGAAATATCTGAAAATTGAGCTTGTAACTTTTTTAAATATAAAGTATTAAATAATATTTTAGGTAATTTAAATAAATTTTTAAAATAAAACTCATTCATGTAAAAATAAATAAATAAATATATATATATATATATATATATTTTGTTAAGTTATTATAAAATATATATATATATATATATATATTAAAATAATAATTATAGTTTTAATTAAAAAGTATTTATTAATTATTAAAATCAAGTTAGTTAATTAATTATTATAAAATAAAATTAATTATTAAAAATTTATCGTATCTCTTCCATTAAATGCAAGAAAAAAATAATTAATTATGATTATAAATAGGGGTTAAGGGAAAATGAGAGGAGAGAAAGAAAGATATAAAAAAAAAAAAATAAGTTATTCATGCAAAATTTTAGTATATCATCTCGTCGTTTTTAAGATAAGGGAAGAAAACATTTATCAATATTCTTCTTTATTTTTACTTATGGTTGTGGAGTGAGGTGTCTCTAACCTCATTCTATTTATTCTTTATATTTTATTTACCTCTAGTTATGAATTGGTTCTGTTTTATATTTATTTATTTATCTTCAGTTTTGCATTGGTCCTAATTTAATTATTTCTAGTTATGTACTGATCTTATTTGTTATGTCCAGTTACGTATTGATCTTGTTTATTTATTTTATTTTATCTCCAGTCTTTCACTGGTTTTATTTTAATTATCTCAAGTTATGTACTAGTCCTCGTTTGTCTATTTTATTTTCTCTCCAGGTTATGCACTTGGTCCTATTTATTAATTTATATTATTATTTTAAATAATAATATATATTTATGAAGATTTGATGATAGTGTAGATTGAGGTTGAACCTTGGGAATTGAAATGAGTAAATATCATTGAGATAATGATTAAAATTGAGCTCATTTATCCCGACTAGTCATTATAAATTTAATTTAAATCTTCATAAATGAAATAAGTTGAGCAAGTTGAAAAATATATTTTATATATCATTATAAGATAATATTATTTAAAATGATAATTGTTCTCATTTTCTTATTGTTATTTCTTGTGCATGTTATAACTAAAATATCAATATAAATAGATGAAAGCATCAATATATAAAACATGTATCATTCGACCACTCGTTAAAAGAAAATTTTTGTCAATTATAATAATGTTTCGATATAAAAATAATATAAACTTGTAAAGTTCACATCTTTATATATATAAATATATAAACATTTATTTCATATCTTATTTTTTTGTCAAATATTTAATAAAAAATAAAAATATCTTAACAACGAGAAAAAAATGTCACAATAAATGTTCTGCATAAAGGTATATATTTTGAAGAAAATTGTTTTTTTTTTAATTAATGTATAAGCCTTAATGAAAAACCTATTTGACTAAATTGAATATAATTTTTCATATTTGAAATATTTTTTCTCTAGAGTCAATTTATTAGCAATCAAGACAATGAATTTATATATATATATATATGAATGTGTTAATATCATGCCTCGTAGATCTTCAACTATATTGTTATAATGTTAAAAGTTTATTTTTTATCAATATACATAGTCAATGGCAGATCTTGACCATTGATCTTGGGGACCAAATAATATATTATTAATAAATAATAAATAAATATAAAAGGAAAAAAAGATGAAATAGTGAAAGGATAAAATTATAAATATATAATTAAATATATTAAATTATTATTAAGTTTGAGGGAGACAAAATCATAAATTAGATGAGAGTTAGAAAAACTCGAGGAGGACTAAAAAGATAAAATTATAAATATACAAGTAAATATATTAAATATTCATTAAGTTTAGAGGATCAAAATCATAAAATACACGTAAATTACAAAACTTTAGGAGGTAAGTCTCATCAGCCTATGTCGTTAATGTACATAGTTGGTGATACTGTTAAAAAAAATAGTTTCTTATTCCAATAAAATATCCAGATACATTGTCAACTGATAATTAACTCTGTTACGATGAAGTAATTGTCTCTGCCAACTTATACTTTTGGAATCACAACTAAAATTTCTTATGAATATTTAAGATGAATAATAGTTAAAAACCCATCCTAGACCCTACTAACCAATGAAATTAAACTAAAAATTTCTGGCTTTTTTTAGCTAGGTGTAATTTTAATTGAGATTTCGGATATGGATAAGTAGTCTCATGTAAGAGGAATTGATTATGAAAAAATTGTGTTTTCTAACCTGTGGATGGATTAAAAATAAATAAATCTTTGAAGACTTTGCCATTTTTTTTTAATAAAATTTGTATTTAATAATACGAATTGTATAAATTTATTTTATTTTTTAATTGAAACCATTATTATTTATATTTTTTTATTTATTTATTTTAGTTATAGAATAATATTATATATTTTTATCTTTTTATATATTTATAATATTATATATTTTGATAATGTTTTAATAATTGTTTTTTTATAAGCTTATAAATTCATAAATAAAAAATCAAATTATAACAATAATTAACAAAAAATAAAATATATTAATATCAAAAAGCAAAATATATTATATTATCATTGTTTATATGGACAATTACTATGATTATTATCCTCAAGACGATAAAATGAGCATTTTTTTTTGCTTATTTGAATTTGACTGATTCATTTTATTGTGGATGTGTGTCATGGTTTGGACCAAGTATAAGGAGACTAATAATTTTCATTTTGTACTAGATAAAATTGATGTTCATAAGCTTTGAAAATCTGATCTAACTTGTCTACTGGATCAATATATGTACCAATTTGCAAATGATAAGTGGAACATATAGTTATAACATATGAGCAAGGTAGTCGAAGAGCTTGAAACTCTCCACAATCACACCATCAGTCATGCAATCTAACTATATACTTTTATGTTCATCCATCATGTTGTGAGTTTGACAATTCTTGGATTTCAAACTCAACATTTTTCCTAGTATATCTTTGCACATGACACATGTCAGCCCATTGTTGACCTTCTCTGAGGAAGGCATAAATCTCTTCTGGACACTCATGTCTTGTTCATAACATGACATTTGCTTTTATGTCACATTCGACAAATCACGATTTTTATTCTTTCAAAGGTGGCTTTGATCAGGCACATATTGACAAGGTCTAATCTCCTTTTAAAACAGAGTTCATGCATTCTATTAAATTGGTGGTCATATATCCATATCTTTTTCCTCCATCATATGTTTGTGTCCATTTTTTAGTGGAATTTGATTCAACCAAAAAGTAGCTTATGGAAACTTTGATCTCATAACATATAGTTTACCTAGAAGTCGTGGTTATTTCATCTCATATGCTAAAAAAATAAAATAACTCAAAAATTTATTAAATAAAAATTATTAATGAAGAAAATAAAAAGTAAAGTAATATTTACCCATATTAATTATGTGTCTCTTTAACTAAATATTGTTGAATTTTTTTATTGAAGTTTGAAGCTATATGTCGAATACAATATACTAATTGGTTTGTATCCTGCCCAACCTCTTGAGTCTATAATGTTGTTAATATTGTTGTACATCTATCTATTATGATACACAAGTTTTGTTGATGTACAACATATTATTTCAACAATTGGAAAAATAAAATCAAAGTATCTTTTATCTCCCTTTCAACTATTGCAATTGTTAATGGAAATAAATTTTGATTTTCATCTTATGCAATAGTTGTAAATAAAGTTTTATCTTCCAGTTAATAATGTCTTGTCAACTTGAATTATAGACTTGCATTGGTTGAATCCTTCGATACATGGCTTGAAGGACCAAAAGACTCTTTAAAGAATATAATATGATGGATCTTCCACTCCATCTATAAAATAAGGACTATCCATATATTAAACAATTTTGTTGGGAAGAGTATCTTTTGTTGGCAAAATTTGGGTCATGTATATATATGATACATAATTTAAATGTGTTAGGACCATTATTTATTAAGCCAAATAATAAAGTGATATGACTAAATTAAAGTTTTGACTAAATACATATGTCATGAAAATAAAATTGTGTAAAGACCATTGAGTAATTTCTAATTTGATGAGGGACCAAATTGGAAATACTAAAACTTAAGTAATTAACATAATTCTGGTTATTTTAAGGGGTCATGGTCCCCTTCTGGGAGCACATAGACAGAACGTAAGTTTCATTCCTATTCCTTTCTTTCTATCCCCATCAAGAGAGAAAATCAAGAGAGAAATACAAGTGTTCTTCAGGTGGAAGACCATAAGATCAATGTAGTGCTCTACAAAGACATCATCATTATGGTTAATTCAGGTACGCTTTCGCATTCAGTTTACAACATGTTTATCAGTATAGGATTACGTTTATGTTTGATCGTTAGAATCAAAATCAGGATTATTATTATTATTAATTTTTCCAACATCTTTAACAGCTTGGAACCATATGGGAATATGGTTGTATGACTCTTCCCAATCACCAAAAATCATAAAAAGTACTTTTTGTTTCCTATCCAAGCTTTCATGTAGCTAATTGAATAACCATGACAACTTTTAATTTCTGCAAACAAATTTTTTATAGGAATAGAAGCATTTGTTTTGACCAATTCATAAATAATATGAGCAATTTCGGTTGAGTTTAAATTTTAGTGATCAATATATAACACATTACACAAACATGTGTGATTTGTTTAAATTTTTTACACCTCCCATTGTTGCCGAATTTTATTCAATAAAGCTTTGAGTCTCCATTAACACCCATTTCCATAATGGATACATTGAACAACATATCTTTCAGACTTTGACTCAACTATAGAATATTTATAACCTTGCACAATATGAATATGCTTAATTGCACTTACTATTATTTCCTTCGATTGGAAACATATTCCCTAAAAAATAATTAAATTTGAATTAGAAGCTTGTGTTTGGTGCCCACCACTTTTAATGAGGGGAGGATCCACGTTATCATATTCTTCATTAATATGTATATCATCTTCTTCTTCATCAAAATTATGAATAATATTTCATATAGTTAGTTCTTCTTCAGATGAAATTGAACTACAACTAACATAAAATCTATCCATTTTAGCAAATTATATAAAAACACTAAGTGTTATTTTCACATTGAATTCATTTAATTTGCTACAAAACATGTCTATTTATACACAGTGCATAAGTGTGACAAAATGAGGGTTGAGAGAAGAGAAAGCATGGTCAAAGGGTCAAAAGTGAAGTTGTGCCAGGTTACACGATTTTTAAAATAAAGTTGTGTTATCTCAGACGACTTGACTGTGAAATTGCACCAGCTCAGATGACTTCTATATGGAGTCGTGACACGGTCAAAAGGAAAATTGTCTTTGCTGAAACGACTTTCAAGAAGAGTCGTATTACCTAGTACGACTTTTGTGTAACCTAATATTGGATTCCTCTCGGTGCACTCCTAATTGTTATGACTGAAAAGAATGTATGGAGAGGAGTAGCTCATCCTATTTAACTCGTGCATCCCTTAGTTCTCATCTTGCACCTATTCTCTTCATCTTTCTCATCACATTTCAGTTTTCTTCTCCATCATTTCAGAGAATCTGCAAGCCCCCATCACTTCTTTCATTACAAACCAACCAGTATATTAAGGATACAATATTTATTGTTATATTATTTATCATATTGTAATAAATTATAATATTATTATTCTATTATAGTATTATTTTAGTCTAATATTTATTGGAATATATGTTTTACTATATTGTATTATTTATTCTACATACTCTTTTGCAGAAATAGCAGTCAATCAACATTTTTCAACAAATATATCTTTGTTACGTTTGGAAGATAAACATGTCACGAAAGCAATATGGAAGGAGAACAAGAGAGTATTTCGGCCAAGATGATGCCACATAATATGGTTAACTAAGCATTCTCATGTACCTTATTGAATTTGATACAAATATTGAATTTGATACAACGAGCAGGTTTTCAACCCTTGTTGAAAATTTTAAATATTAATGTCAACCAACATTTAATAATGACATTAGCAGAAAGATGGAAATTAGAAACTCATACCTTTAACTTTTCCATTGGTGAAGCAACTATAATATTAGAAGATGTCACTCTACAACATGATCTTCCAATTGATGGAGAGTGTATTACTAGTCCCAACAGTGGTGATTTAATCTATTTTTGTGAACCTTTATTAAGGTCAATTTCATCGAAAGGAGTGACAAAAGAAAATTTAATTAAATTTTCTTGGTTGAATACAACATTGCAACAACTTTCTTATGGTGCAGATGACAATATTATTGTTCAACGTGTGTGCATACATTTTATACATCATAGAAAATTTATTGATGTCAGATATATTAGTTTCTCGAATTCACATCATTTATCTTTTACTTTTACAAATTTCTTTTGGAGTCTCTTTCTCCTCTTTTTCCTCCTTTGCATCTTTCTTCTTCTTGTTCCACTTATTTTGGTTGTACTTTCTTTAAATCTCTTTATCTTCTTCCTTCTCTTATTCCCTTTCATCCTCTTTCTTCATCTTCTCCCACAACTCTCACCTTTCCCTCTCCTCTTTCCCTTTCTCCCTCTTTTCCATCTTCCGATAAGAAGAAATGATAAACATTACATAAGAAATACAACTACAACCGATTGTTCCATGATTAATGTTATATTAGCTTGTTTACTAGTTCATTATCAATTCTTTCACATGGAAAGTGTGTTATGATATGATATTTTAGGTCCCTAACTAGTTTTAGGCACTGCATTTGTCAATGTTGGAAACCTCCATGTTGGCTGGACCTAAGTTTGCAATTTTTAAGATATAGTTTTAGGCACTGCATTTGTCAATTTTGGAAACCTCCATGTTTGCTGGACCAGAGTTTGCAATTTTTAAGATAGAAAATGAATGGATCTTTGTTATTTATATATTTCTTCTTAACCTTTTTATTTAGATCGAGTTAAATAATAATTAGATTATTCAGATTTAGATGTAGAAGAGACTGAAATCTAAAACAAATAATATGTTTTGGTAAAAAAATTAATATTAAATTATTTAAGTTGAATTTATTTTTTTTAAATAACAATATAAACTAAACTATTTTAATATATATTTTGATCGCTTTTACATGATTTGGGTTGAGTCATCATGTCACTTGATAAAATAATAAAAAATTAGAATAAAATAATGAATCATATAAAAAGATATACATAACCTAAAATTTACAAAATTACACAACATAATTATAGAGTTGTAGAATTACATAATATAATATTATAGAACTTTACCACATAAAAAAAGTTAGTTAAACATTTATAAAATATAATTTTGGATTGAGGTTCTATGCAGTTCGTCCATACATTGTTTGGTAAATTTCATTTCTGAACTTGTGTGTTCGTATTCATGTCTCATTGCATTAAAGGAATTGAACTTGGTAGATGAAATTTATTTTATACTATCAATGCAATTTTTATATATTAATATGCTTTGTTTGAACCTTGTAATTATTTAGACTAGGAATAATCATAAAATTGTGAATAACAATTATTTTTCTCTTTTCAACGTTTGTGAAATTAAACTTTTGATCATTTTAAAATATTTTATCTATCTAATTTTGAAAACTTTAGTTCTTTTAAACAATATATAATATTGGTTTGTAAAATGACAAAAAATAGTTTGTGTAACACTTCGAAGGTTAATATTGATGCATTTTAAATTTAGAAAATAAAAATAAACAAAAAAATTGGACTAAACTTCACAAATTCTCGATAAATTAAAAACATATTTTAAAGTACATGACGAGTGTTAGTGCATAACCTTACACTTGTTTAAATTAATTGATACTATGCTAAGAGGAGTTGCACGCGCCAATTTGGGCAGTGGGATTAGAATTCGTGTTTTTCAATCTGTCATCCTTTACCTCGCACTTCGGGAACTGCTGCCACTTTCACCCCTTTGGATTCTTTCCTTCTCTCTCACCACATACCAATTTGTCCAATTTGGATCACAACACAACACAGAAACAGCCATTTAGAAACCCTTAACATTTCACTTTTTTCTCTTCTTCTACCATCAAAACATCACAAGAACCAACACCGCAAGGATGAAGTAGTGAAGTGAACCATCATCCCTTTATGCTAGTTAGGTGAGTTCAGTTCAACACACCGTGTGAAAAACAAAAGGGGAAAAGAAAATTGTTGCTTCATCACTATTTTATATGTGATATAGAGTGCACATCTAGATGCATGTACTTCACTTCTTTGTATCTATGTGTCCCAAGTTTGAGTGTAAACTTAAACATTTGAAGTGTTTAAGGTGTCAAGATGTGACTATGAGTGTGTTGGGTGAGGAACATCTTTGTGATCTGTGAGATTTGATGAGATGAGATGAGATGTTAAAAAGCATGTATCCTAGGTTGTTGGTTTTTGACCATACTCATTTGAAGATGGCATGGGTTAAGCATCAAATCCAGCAGAAAGATGGTTACTTGAGCTACTCACCACCCCTTTTGTCTTCATCTTCTTCTTCACCCCCTTACCCTCCTGGTGCTGCTTTCCACAAAGAATCATCTTCAACAACACCACCTTCATCATCTGGCACTAGAATTAGTCCTGCTGTTCTATTCATCATAGTGGTTCTTGCTGTTTTGTTTTTCATCTCTGGCCTCCTTCACCTGCTTGTTAGATTTCTCATAAAGCACCCATCTTCTCCTTCATCTGCTCAATCCAACAGACACCCAGAAATTTCCACATCTGATGCTCTCCAGAGGCAGCTGCAGCAGCTCTTCCATCTCCATGACTCTGGCTTGGATCAAGCTTTCATTGATGCTCTTCCTGTCTTTCAGTACAAGGAGATTGTAGGGTTGAAAGAGCCTTTTGACTGTGCTGTTTGTCTGTGTGAGTTTTCTGAGAAGGATAAGCTCAGGTTGTTACCTGTTTGCAGCCATGCTTTTCACATCAGTTGTATAGACACATGGCTTTTGTCAAACTCCACATGCCCTCTTTGTAGAGGAACACTTCTTACTCATGGATTTTCTATTGAAAACCCTATATTTGATTTTGATGATCTGAGGGAGGATGAAGGGTGTCCTTGTAATGGAGAGAGTGGATTCGGTACTAGACAGAAAACGGTAGTGGTTGAAGAAAGTGTGGAGAAAGGAGTTTTCCCTGTGAGGCTTGGGAAATTCAAGAAGCTGAATGGGGAGGGTGGGGAGAGTGAAGTGGGAGAGACAAGTAGCAGTAATTTGGATGCAAGAAGGTGTTACTCAATGGGGTCTTACCAATATGTGGTTGGCAATTCAGACCTCAGGGTGGCCTTAAACCATGAAAGTGGTAAAGGTCAAGTCACAAGGCACACCAAAGGAATGGAACATGATGGGAAGCTTTCAGTGGAGGGGGATGTGGAAGCAAAGAAGATTAGTAGTGTCAGTAAAGGTGACAGCTTTTCTGTGTCCAAAATCTGGATGTGGCCAAAGAAGGGGAAATTACCTACTTCTTTGGATGCTCAAATGGGCATGCCAATGCCATCTTTTCTAAACACAGATTTTCAAAGGAGGAGGGAAACAGAAGGGGCATGAAAGGTATCCCCATGTTTTTCATTTTTCTTCTTATTTCACTTGAATTCCTTTCAATCCATTGATTAAAGGTAGTAACTCTTCCCCCCGGGCCCTGCCTTACAATTCCAAAAAATTTTTGGTGTGCTAATTTTGACTTTGTGATGACTGATTGTGCCATACTATTGATGTATTATGATTTGATTGTACTTCAGGAACATATGAGAAATACTACATCTCTTTCTTTTATCAAACAGATCTCATGACTCCTTAGTTTGATGAATTTTAGAATCGTCCAAGGTTTTTAATGCAGTTCACAACCACATAATATTTAGAGTCCCTGTGATCATAATTTGATCACATTTATCTGTAATTTCATTCAATATCAATTTAAGTCCCTGGATTTGTCATGGTAAATGTTGATCTCAGGTCATTTGGTTATGCAAAGTACAAAAAACCAGACATACCAAGATACCCTTGTTACATTTATTAATTCCCTAGCCTACCTAGTCCAACAATTTTGTATCATTTTCTTATTGATAATTAATTAATTAACAACGGACAGATTATTGAATTTGGTTGTGGATTCTAGCCTGCTTCAAAACCAGACTTGTCTGTCTCTTTCTGTGTCATTGTTCACTTGCCATCAATGTGTCTACTTGATCATGACTTGTGCCAAGTGCACTTGCTTTCTTTGCTTTTGAAGGCTTTTGGCTTTGTTCTTTTTCTTTGTTATTGGCATTGCAGTAACTTTTTGTGAGAGGGTGAAATGTGAATGTGAATGCAAACTTTTTCTTTTCCTTTTTTTTTTCTGCTATGATCTTTTTGGCAGCTGAAGCTAGTGGGATCCATACAAACTGGCATCATAGAATCTTTTTTTCCTTCTGATGAGTTTTGATTCAAAAAATTTGTTGTGGTTGAACCGTGTAGGGCCATTTTGCACCTCCCCATGTGACCATTTTGTAATTAAAGACAGATTTGTATTATATCCATCATAATAACAATCAATTGGCCCCAATTGTTCTACATTTGTTTATATTGGTGTCCAAGTATTTATTTTTTAATCATGTTTTTTTCCTTCACTTGGTTTAAATTTAAGATTTGGTGGAAGAGTCTTTTATTTTAACTAATGAAATAGTTTTTAGTACCCATTTATATCTTGTTTGTAGCTTAATTTTAACTTGTTTCCTTTAAAAAAAAAAAAAAAAAAAAAAAAAAAAAAAAAAGCTGTAATGAGGTTGGAAAGAATTGATAGGATGTCAACTTCCAAAAGAGTGTCCTTTAATTGATAGGTCTTCAGAAGCTCACCAACAATAGCATGTACTAGGTTGAATGATTTTTTTAATAATAATTTTAAACTTAAAAGTGCAATTTTTTTAGTTAATCCTTGTTAATAAATAAACAAATAATTTTTATCTTTTATATTTTACTTTTCATTTGCATACAATTTTATTATAATTATCAAAATATAACTATTTGATGAAGATAGATTTTATTGATATTATACATGAACTAAATTCTTTAAGACACGTGAAAACTTATTTTTCAAAAGTTTTTATTGTAATTTCTAGAGTAAATTGAAATTCCATAATATTTTAAAGAACAAATAAAGTATTTTACCTATCTTCATAAAATCACATGTTATTTAATATTTTTAAAATTTTATTTTTCTTGATCACATAATTATAAAATTTGATGAATTGGTCATTTTTATAGTTGAGTTTGAAGATTTGACTATTTTTGTACACAATTGATGTTTTTTTCTTGGTATAAGTTTTTTTTTTAAATAAAAATGATTTGTATTATTGTGTTTGAAGTAATGTGTCTAGGTGTGGTGGTGGGGTAGGAATAGTTGGGTGGCTCCAAGATTCTGCGGTCAGAGTACAACTCTGCTTACTGCCGTTGGATCTTGTCAACCACCCAAGATCACAAAATTAACTTCACGCCGCTAGCGCGTGGTTACCACTTTTACGTAAATAAATGCACAGAAAAATAAGAAAAACAAAAGTTTTATAAATACTATTTTCTTCGAATTTGTGTTTCTTAACTTTTTATTAGTTTTAAAATTTTAATAATTCTGATTGATTTTGAAGATATTGTACTTTTAATAAAAATATTGTATTTTTATAAATATTGTATTTTTATATTTTACAAATAATATAGAAAAAACTAGTAATGTACTTTTAATGTAAGATTTACATTATTAGCTAACTAAAAAAACATCATAAATATAATCTTTAACATAATTATTGTATAAACTAACAAATTATTGTATTACCATCTAATAGACAACAAAATAAAAATAAATATATTTCAATGTGTTATAGTTAAATTCAGTAATAAGTTATGTAACGTCACTAATAATTTAGGAAAATTTTATGTAATGGTATAAATTATTTTTAAACTTTCAAAATTTGTGAAAGTGATTTTTTAAAAAGTAAATGAAATAAACAAATATGTAAGATATAAAATTATTTATTTCAAAAAATTATTCAAAGTAAACATACATTTAAAACCATGATCATATATATAATTTTTTAGATATTTCTATGGATAAAATTTTAAGTTATTATTATTATTATTATAATGAAAAATCATTTTCCTAGTATAATACTTGAAAGAATATTTTCTAATTCGAATGTAAGATAATATTAATTAGTACCTTGGTTTATTAAACGAGATAAGAAATTAATACTTTTTTAATTAAAAATTGTATCAATATATTTCCTTAATTATTTTAATTTAAATAAATCCTAAGCATGATTTTCAATAACTTGTTCCAGCCTTACTGTTAAAGATTAAAAATACAAACACATTTTTATTTAATTTCTGAAGATAAGATAAACAGATTATTGAAGTAATAATTTTACTTCAATAATCTTTAGTAGAGATATTTGGGGTATGATTTAGTTTTTTTTTTTTTTAAATCATTCAAATCAAACATAAATTTTATATTTGAATACAAAATTAAATACAAAGCAAGCTAAATCAATCTTTCATTGTTTGGGATCGATTTTGTAGATTTTGTTTATCCATTCTTGCCATTATTTTTATTTACTGATTCTAATATTCTCTTTTATTAAAATTTCTCTCAGAAATTTATATACTCACAATTGTAGGAGTACAATGAAGAGAGGAAAAAAATATCAGTGAGATACAAATACTAAGATTTTGGTTAAACAATAAAAACATAATACTGTAATTTATACACATTTGTATTTTGTATTTTTTCTTGTTAAATTAAATGTGATTATCCATTTTCTTGAAAACAAATATAAAGTTTTACGATTTTAAAATTTGTATCATGTAATTTTACGATTTGCTTGCTAACGACGTTATTCAATTTTAAAAATAAATCAGTAAAAAATTGTTCTAGAAGTTGAGTAAAGGTAAGAGATTAACAATCAAAATATTTAATATATAGCATTAATTAATTTAGAATGATTAAAGCTTATTTATATATTAAAAAACAATTTATTCTAACTTTATTTAAAAGTAATAATAAGATTTTCATATAAAGAACCTTATGTATGAAATTATTCTTATGTACAACGTCTCAAACTTCTTGGGTTTCTTGTGGGTGATGATGGAGTTGAGTTGAGTCCAATGCAGAGAAAAACTGATGATAGGGTTTCAGAAAGAAAGATAAAAGCGATGAAATACTTGAGTGGGAAGAAAGTGAAACTGGGCACAACATAATAATAACATTGACTAGTTTTGACAAAGAATGAACGCAACATTCACCTGTTTTCATTTTCACACACATAAAATAAACAAGTAGCCATAACTATTCATGAATGCTCCCATCACATCAACTCAAGGAATAAAGTCAAAGCACAAAATGTCAATGCTCAATCCAAATTTAGTGCCTTCTCTTCTCTTCTTCCTCCGTAACTCTTTATATTCCTTTTCCCTTCTCTCTCCACCCATTCAAATCACCCTTAACAATTTATGAAATTCCTTCCATTTTTAATACTTTTTTACTTTTAATATAAGATAATACTTTTTAGCAAGTTATTTGTAAAAAACAAAAACAAAATCTTATGTATAACAAGAATAATCAACCCAAAATTACTAAGATTTGAATAATGTCGTAATCTTAAAAAATATAATTTTGAATGAGCTCTGCGTATTCTTATCTTATATATATATATATATATATATATATATATATATATATATATATATATATATATATATATATATATATATCCAAAACATCATACTTAAATAACTCTGAATAAGTTTGTTTCTATAACTTATACTTTCATAACTTTTTACATTAATTTCACTTAAAATTAAATTACTAATTCATTTTTAATTATAAACAAAAAAATTATTGATGAGAAATTCTCTCTATATTGTTTATACTTTAAATTATTTTATCTTAAAAAAAAAAGACAATTCAACTTTTTCATAGGCAAAACATGTTTAATTCTTTAAATAATAAGGAATCTACATTTTTCTTGTATTTAATATTAGAATTTTTTTTCTGCAAATGATTTTTATACTGTGAATAAATTCAAAGATATAGATCTCATGATCTAACCAATGCAGAGACATACTATCTCTTATGAAAATCCCACGTAGAAAGTTGACTCAATATAAATATATAAATATATTATTGTTATTTATTAGTAATTCACACTCTTCATTCTAATTTATTGTTTCCTTTAAATACTATATTTTCAATTAAATGTAAATAAAGATAAAAAATTGATTATATTCTTTATATAATTTATTAAATGTAAATACGATTTACAATTAGTATAATCTAATATGAATGTATAATAGAAAAACTTATATATTTGTATAATGGAAAATAATTTAAGATAATCAAAATAAAAAATTATTAAAACAAACTCAATGTTTTAAATCTCAATAGCTGGAAAAATCCTTATGATATACTTATATACAAAAATAAATGAAAATTAAAGAGACAAATACAAAAACAAGTATTACAAGAAAATTATTTTTAAAAAAGATAAATGTATTATTATACTTGTTTTGTTTTGTTCCTAATTTTCTCAATATACAACAAAATAAAATAATAAATTTGACAAGAGAAAAAACCTAACTATGAACAACACGGTGCGTTCCGATCTCGCCGCACGTTAGCGCTGCCTCATTTCTCGAAATTCGACACAGGCGGCGCGTGCTCCTCGCGCAAGTACGCGGCGGTTTTCTCCGGCTGCGGAATGGAGGCGAAGCGAGCTGAGAAGCCTTTGTGTTCGTGATCGTCGTCTCCGACCGCAGTTCCGTCGTCAAAGTTGAGAGCGTAGCTGAGCGGATCGTAGCGGAATGAACCGTGACTCTTGTAGTGGTTGCTTCTGTTATTGTTGAAGCGGCGAACGACGGTTTTCCAGTCCCTCACCATCTTCCATCGCCGGTACCACCATCTCTCCTTGTTCGGCGGTGACTGAAGATCCTGCCACCACGTCGACGACGAGGATTCAGAGGGGAAGCAAGGGAGGCAGAGGAACATGCAGCGTCGGTTAGCGAACGCGATCCGCACCGCGTCTTCGCCGGATTCAGTGGCGGTCGCCGGCGATAGAACTGTCATCGCCGCCGGGGAGAAAGGATTTGGGTTGATTTAGGATTTTGTGGGTTTCTCTCTCTGAAATGAGTGAATGAACGACTACATAAATAATGTGACGGTTTTTGAGGGTGTAACAGATTCGCGGAATTTCCGCTTTTATTAGTAACTGGCACCGGGAAACGCCGGTTCTCATCTTCTACACACTGAAACAGTTATTATTTTTATTTTTATTTTCTTAATAAATTACACTTCCTAGTCAACCTATGGAGTAATAAAATTAATGATTTAATAATGCTTTAAGTTTTAAACTTTTGAATATTTCTTTAATTTCTTATATTGATAAAATTATTTTAACTTTTATTAAAATTCGATTTTATTTTTTTAAATATTAAATTTGACGAATTAAAATATTTATAAAATTGTTTGATCTCTGAATTTCGATATTTAAGGACTAAAATTCTAGTTTTTCGATTTTAAGAGATTAAAATATTTTTTTAAAATTTAAATGAACAAAATTATAATCATTTAAAATTTCAGAACTAAATCGTAATTCAGGAAAAATAATTAATTTAATTGAATTTCAGCTATGAAATATTATTATATTATTTATATATGATTATTCTTCGGATAATTAATTTATAAAGTGTTAGTAATATATTTTGTTTATTGGTCAAAGCTTATTAAATGAAGGTGGAAAATTATTAAATAAAAGCTAAAATTCATGTAACTTTGCGATTTCCAACTAATCTTAATTCATGATAAAAGTGTATTAAAAATAGTGTGTTATAGATTATATTAATAATTAATAATATTATTTTCACATTTAAAAGTGTATCAACAATTATTTCTCATTAGTTTGGTAATGTATAATTTTTATTACTTTATGATTAAGAAAGTAGTTAATTTAATTAATAGTAATAAATATGTTTGTTTTGAAATTATATACTTTTCAAAATTATTTGTCATTAATAAACTTTTCTCTCTTAAAAATATTTATTAATATATCTATCATTAATTAAGGATACTTTCACCTAAAATTAAAGCAATACAAGTTACAAATTAAGATTTCTATTAAAAAAAAGCACAAATTATTTTTAATAATAAGTAAGAAATATACTTTGATTATTTTAAATTTTGAAGAGTGAATATTTATAAAAAAAAATTATCATCTTTATCTGTGTAGATCCACGTAAAATAATGGTATAATATAACTATATTTGTAAGTATTAAATAAATAATATTATTGATAGGAATAAGTTCAGAGGATACGCTCGGCGGGCCAGCCCGCCATAATATGGTGAGGCGGGTTGGTATTTTCTATAGAAACTATGCATGCATGCAGAAGAATAAATGGAAACCCACGTACTTTATGTAAAAGATGAAAGAACGTATTTATACACAGTACAGAAACAGAAAAAATGAAAGCAACGTAAAACAGTATTAACTGTTTTTAGTTTTTGACTTATTTCTAACACACCCCCTAACTCAAACAGGTTTTACAACTCCAATAGATTGTCTCAGATACCTAAACCTCTCCCCTTTTAATGCTTTGGTAAAGATATCTGCCAACTGAACCTCAGATTTACAGTAAGCGACTTCAAGCTTCTCTTGATTGACTTGCTCCCTCAAAAAATGGAACCTGGTTTCAATGTGTTTGCTCCTACCATGAGCAGCAGGATGTTTTGCTAAGTCTATAGCAGATTTATTGTCCACCATTAATTTTGGACAGCAATTCATCTTCACTTTTAACTCTTCTAAGAGCATTGCTAACCAAGCAGCTTGGCACGCAGCTTGAGAAGCAGAAATGTACTCTGCTTCACAGGAGGAAAGAGCTACAACAAGTTCTTTCACGGAATGTCATGAGATAGGTGACCCGTAGAGGAAAAATATGTATCCAGCAGTGGACTTCCTATCAATCTGATCTCCGCACCAATCAGCATCTGCGTACCCCTTCAGTTCAACATTTCCTTCGCACCCTTTATTTGTAAACAGCAAGTCAAGATTCTTTGTCCCTTGCACATAACGCATGATACGTTTCACAGCATTCATGTGGGTTTGTTTAGGTTCCTGCATGAATCTACTCACTATTCCAACTGCAAAACTTAGGTCAGGTCTTGTACAACACAAATACCTCAAGCACCCAACCATTTTCCTGAAATCTGATTCATCCACAGGTTCCTCATCTTCATTCTTTCCCAACTTCAACCCTGTTTCCATCGGTGTAGCTGCTATGTTGCAGTCTTGAAGCTTGAACCTGCTCAACAGGTCTTTCGCATATTTTGCCTGGTGCATTAACATTCCATGATCTGTCTGCATGAATTCAATCCCCAAAAAATAATTGAGTTCCCCCAAGTCACTCATTTCAAACTCAGTGGTCATCTGATGTTTGAACTGATTGATATATTCCGCTTTACTTCCTGTGACAAGCATATCGTCTACGTATAGGCATACAAGTAATTTTTCTTCTTGACCATTGCTGATCCAATACTTCACGTATAAGCCTTGCTCCGTGGTGCATCTTTCAAAGTCAATCTGCATGCATAAACTGATCAATTCTTTTGTTCCAAGCACGTGGGGCTTGCTTCAAGCCATAAAGAGCTTTGATTAACTTGTAAACTTTCAGTTTATCATCCTTAACCTCAAATCCTGGCGGTTGAGTTACGTATACCTCCTCTTCAAGCAACCCATTTAGAAAAGCTGCTTTTACATCTAGCTGATGCATTCTCCACTTGTTTATTGTTGCAATAGCGATAATTACTCGGATTGAATCAAGTCTAGCAATGGGTGCATATATTTCTCCAAAGTCAGTCCCAGCCTTTTGCAAATATCCTTTAGCCACTAACCTGGCTTTATGCCTTATCACCTCTCCCTTGGGATTTACTTTCACCTTGAATACCCACTTCAGTGCTATGGGCCTTTTATGCGGTGGAAGATTAACCAATCTCCACGTTCCATTACGTTCAATGGACTTTATTTCATCACACATCGCTTTTGTCCATTTCTCATCACGCATAGCATCCTCAAACTCCACAGGCTCCGCTTCTGCTGCCAATGCAAAATGCACTGGGTTTCCTTCTTCAGTAACAACACCAAACATTTCATAATCTCTGAAGCGAGTTGGTTGTTGTCCTTGACGCTGGGATCTTCGAAGCTGCTGAACATCTTCTTCGGGTTCAATCTCACCAGAATCTGCTGCATCATCAGGTTCTAGCGCAATAATTGGGACCACCTCTGCTGCCTTATTCACCTTATTTGTCTCCCATTCCCAACCAGAGGCTTCATCAAAAACTACATTTCTACTGATAGTTACACTCTTGGTTTCGGGGTTAAACAGCTTATACCCTCTAGTAGTGTGATAACCAATCATCACCATAGGCTTTCCTTTGTCGTCTAATTTGGTTCGCTGCACTTCGGGCACTTTATGGAAACACAGGGAACCAAAAACTCGCAGATGCTTGACATCTGGCTTCTGTTTTGACCATGCTTCTTCTGGTGTAACTCCCTCCAACCTCTTCGTAGGTGTGCGATTTAGAATATAGGTTGTTGTTGCAATTGCTTCTCCCCACATATACATAGGCACGTTTTTACTTTTGAGCATACATCGGGCCATGTTGAGGAGAGTTCTATTTCTCCTCTCAGCGGTTCCGTTATGTTGCGGTGTGTGAGGCGGTGTAACCTCGTGTGTGATTCCCATTTCAGTCAGGAAGTTTTGAAACTCCAGTGAGTTGTACTCTCCCCCTCCATCAGACCGTAGTCGCTGTATCATGCAACCACTCTGTTTTTCAGCGAGATTCTTGAACCTCCTGAATGTGTCAGAGACCTCGTTTTTTCGCTTTAGGCAGAACGTCCACAACTTCCTGGTGTAATCGTCCGTGAAGGTCACGAAGTATCGACTACCCCCAGGTGTTTCCACAGGCAATGGTCCGCAAAGATCAGAATATACCAGTTCTAACTCCTTTGTTGTTTTGGTGGCAACAAATTTGCTGAACTTATTCTTTGTTTGCTTGCATTGCACACAGTCATGACACGCTTCTTCTGGCACAGACACGTGAGGCATCCCTTCAACCATTCCTTTAACACTCAGTTCACTCAAATTTTTGAAGTTCAAGTGACCAAAGCGTAAGTGCCACAACCACTCTTCTCTGTTTACTGTAGCTGCAAAACACTTATGGTTTAACGTAGTTATTTTTACCTTGAACGTACGATTGGATGATAATGCAGCACAAATGACAAGCTTCTTTGTTTGATCATAGACCCGTAGAGAATTCTCCTCCAGAACCATCTTGAACCCTTTCTGCATTAACTGGCCAAGACTTAGCAAATTGGTTCGTAACCCAGGGACATACAGGACGTTGTCGACTATAACTTCTTCTCCTTCGAGGCTTCTTAACACGACTTGTCCATTCCCTTCTGCATGCAAACAACTGTCATCTGCAAATCGCACCCGTTCTTGAGTCTCATTACTTAATTTCACAAACCACTCCCTCCGGCCAGTCATATGGGTAGAACACCCAGAATCAAGATACCAAGCATCATCATCATCATTATCTTCGTTCTTGGTCTGAACCATGAGTAAGACAGCTTCAGAATCGGACGACTCTTCTTGTGCGAGATTTGCCTGGGACAAAGACTTGGGTTTGTTTTTCGCTCCATCACCATGCCAGCAGTCGCGTGCGAAGTGACCATACTTCTGGCAGTTATAGCATTTCACTCGCTTTTTGTTAAACACCTTGTCTTTACTCACATTCCCGCCCTGTTTTGATTCACCTTCTCTCGACTCTGGATCAATCTTCTTCTTGGATTTGTGACCCTTCTTGGTATCTTTTTTTGGCTTCGATGATGTTCTTGCTTGAAGAACCAACTCCTGATACGATTTGCGATCACTCATGCACAGTTCGTGAGCCTCCAACGAGTGCTGTAATTCTTGAATACTCAGCTTGTCGATGTCCTTTGTTTCTTCAATTGTGATAACAAGATTATCGAACTTTGGATGCAAAGAACGAAGAATCTTGTTTACCACGTGT